TGGGCAGAAGAGCTAAGTAAACACTTCCTGAAAGAAGACATACAGATGCCCACATTGGTCATCACTTATGCCCGACAGGTAAAATGCTCATCGCTTATTGCCAGGGAAATGACAACCAGAACCACAATAAGATACTACCTTACATCTGTGAAATGGCTCATATCAAAAAGACCATAAAAAACATGTGTTGGCAAGGGTGTGGAGAAAAAGAAACCTTCTTTTGTTGGTGTGAATGTAGACTGGTCCTGTCCTATGGAAAATAGCATGGAATTTTCTCAAAATATTAAAAATAGAACTACCATATGATTCAGTGATCATCTTCTAGATACCTACCTGAATAATACAAAACACTCATTCAAAGGGAGCTATACACACGCACACACACACACATTCATTATAGTACTATTTGCAGTAGTCAAGCTATGGAAGCAAACGTAGTACCCAAGAGCAGATGAGTAGATGGAGAAGATGTAGTATATAAACACAATGGAGTGCTATTCACCTATGAAAAGAGATGTAATCTTGCCACTTGTAACAATATGGATGGAAGTGGAGGTGATTATACTAAACGAAATAAGCCAGAAGGAAAAAGATAAATATTGACTGTTTTATTTACACATGGAATATAAAACCCAAAACAAAGGAACAGAGAAAACAAACTCTTAAAATGTGTCTGTGGAACTGAGGTCGCCAGAAAAGGAGGGAGTAGGTGGAAGCAAAGAGGGAGGGGCTTCAGTAGACCTTGGAGAAGGATTATTGGTGCTTTGGTGGTGAGAATGGTGTGGTAACATACATCTGAAGAGGCATAAACCTATACCCATAAAACATATACAGTGTTATAAACCACTGTTACTTCAATTAATGTAATTAAAAAGTAATTATACCCCTTTAACATTTTTAAACATAAGGAAGGATAGCAATGTATAAAACAGATTTCCCCATGGTAAATGATAGGAGATTTCTCAGGGTCAGTTCTATACAATCAGAGTCACTTGCATTGTATTGGTACTATGGAAAGAGACAATTGGTTTGCCATATTGTGCAGGTGTTCCAAAATCTCCAGGCTTTTTGTTAAAACCAACCTTGTCAAACTCTAAACTCCATCCAAATGGAGGAGGAAGGGAATCTAATTTCAATGATATCTGGGTCTTCCCTCATCTCCAGGGTCTCAGAATCTGGAAGATTTTTGTGGCCACAGGGTAGAAGGAGGGAGCCTATGCTCTGCTGTCCATCGTGGTCACTGTGGACCCCTTGACTTACTGCTCTTTGCTTCTGTCTTGTGCGCAGCAACAACAAATTTAACTCTCTTCTCCTCATTTCTCCTAGTGTATCTTTGAGCTAAAAATCCACCCACTGCCACAAATAGCATTTATTATTGCTATGAGCAGAAAGCTGCCTGGAGTGTCCTGTTGCTCATTTGAACCACCTTCCTGTGATCTTTGAAGTTCTTGTCATCACTGAGGAAGCAATCAATAAACAATAATTTTCCCTTTCCCTTTCGCAGACCAGGCAGAAGAAAAAGGAGATTAAATTCTAACTAAATAGCTATATGAGGTTTGTCTGGTTTTTTCCTTAATAGAGACAGAACAGACTTGAAAAGGTTATATAACCCAACAAAGAGTTTTAAAATTTGTCTCTGCCTGCCACAATATTCTTATTTAGCAACTTTTCATCACTTTTACCATTATTTTTGAATTTGTAATCTAATTTTGTGATCTAATCAACACACATTTGTTGGATTTCTTTTATGTATATAGGTCTGTGCTGAGCACTCTCTTCTCTTTCTCAATTTTAATTGAGTAATGACAGGAACTACCTTCATTCAGATACCCTTGATATGGAAGAGCCTAGGATATCCCAAATACTACCTTTTTTTTTTTTTAAAGATTTATTTATTTATTTATACAAGCACTGGGTACAGTCAGAAGCGCGGGAGGGTGAGAGAATTCACCAGAGCCAGAGCAGGGAGCAGAGCAGGCAGAAGGACCGAAGTACACTGCTGAGGGGAGCAGCGGGTGGCAGGAGAGGTCTGTGCGCCATGTGGGACCCTCCTCTGGTGGCCGGGGAGCAGCCGGGGATCGAACCTGCACTGCAGAGGCCGCGGGCAGCTTCGCAACCCAGCGCTCAACCGCTGCGCCACCGGGGAGGCCCCCCAAATACTACTTTAAAAAAATTATTTGTATAGATTTTGCATCATTGTTTATTTTTGTACAATATTTGCTTTCTTCCTCTCAGGTGTAGTCCCTGTAAAATCCCCACCACCAGTTCACCCGTGCACCATCACTATAGTCCCTTGTGCTCATCCCTCCCCTGTTTTGATCCTTCTCCCTTACCCTCCCCTGCAGAATATCTCTGATTTACAGTTGCCAGTTAATTTTGGTTTTTTATTTATTATCATTTTTTTCCTGATCCCTTATTTGGTTCACTTTTGAAAAATGCTTTATTTTGAGCTCCCAAGGTAGCTTGTTAAAGACCTTTTAGAAAGCTCCACTTGTATTTTAAAAAGTTTTCTCCCGTTTAAAGACAAATTCTAGGACAAAAAAGAAATGCTTTATTTTATGAAAAGACCAAATGGGATAATTTGGATCACAAATTAATGATTTGGGAACCTGAACTAGCTTGAGTTTCCAGCCCTCTTCAGGACAAGTTCTTTGTTGAGAAGGCTAGCCATCTGGACTGGAAATGAGGATATATGGCTATGGTCTCAGTCTTACCATCATTATCTTGGGTAATTCACTACGATGAAGAGAATGTCATCATCAACTTATCAATGGCATTACTCTTTTAAGCAGAGATTTAAAATAGGGCCCCCCTGGTGACGCAGGGGTTGAACACAGCTCTGTGAAGCTGTCCACGGCCATGCAAGGATCCTCTCCAGTCGGCCCACATGGTGAGGCAGACCTCTCCTGTCTCACCGGCTGCTCCCCTCAGCAGTGTGTTTCGCTACATCTGCCTGTTCTGCTCCCTGCTCTCTCTCGTGAATCTTCTCACTCCCCGCAACTCTGGCCTCCCCAGTTATAAAAAAAACAAACAAAAAACCCCCCCAAAAAACAGAGATTTAAAATAAATAATGGCTTTATTTAAATATACAATTTCTTTTAACAATCAAGGAACTCCAGTTTTAGTGAAGATACGATGTGTGTTGCCTTTAGTCCATTGCTGCTTTGAGAAACTATATTTTTAAACAGAGAACCCTTAAAGGGGATATCAAATGAGCTATCTTTTAACAAATTTTATGTCTCTCTTATTTAAAAAAATGACAATACCTGCCCTTGACTCCACTTCTTCCAGTTACTTCCTTCTCTCTTTTTCTTCATAGCCAACTTTTTCAAGAGTTTGATGTACTCTCTACTTCTCCTTTCCATCCACTCACTTCTAATATATCCTCACCTCTATATATAAAAACAATGCTAATGCTTGATTTTATCCAATTTGTCCCTTCTCCAAATACCTTCTATTGTTTCCATGCTCTCCTGGTTTTACCCTTACCTCCAAGGTCACTTTTGTGTGTGTGTGTGTGTGTGTGTGTGTGTGTGTGTGTGTGTATATATATATATATATATTCCCAATTATAACTGTTACATGTTAAAACTTTTCAAAGCTTAAGTCCTACGCCACCTATTTTTCTCATTTTTTAATCTTCACTGAGGAGATCTCATCCACATATATGCCAATATCTCCCACATGTGCATTTCCTGCCCAGGCTTCCTATCTGAGCTCTAGACCTGGGTATCCAGATCTGTGCTCACCATTCCCATTTGGAAGTTTCCTCAAATTCAGCATATCCCCAATGGTGGTCACGATCTTTGTCTCTCCATGCCAGTGCTTGATATCTCAGTGAATGGACTATAGTCTACTCAGCTACATAATCCTGAGATATAAGGAATTGCCCTTAAAACTCTCCTCTTCTTAGCTCGCTCTCCCACAGTATCCAGAACATTGCTAGTATCTCTCAGATCCAGCCACATCTCTACTTTTGTGCTAACTACTAATATGTTAGTTCAATGAAGGTAGGAACTATATTAGTCTTACCATTTTATCCTCAAATCCTAGTGTAGTACCTGGCACATAGTAGGCATTCAATGAAAGTTTGCTGAATGAATGAACAAAGGAATGAACAAATGAAGCTCATAGTGATTTACCCAAGATCAGGATGGCAAGACTGAGATCATAGCCATATATTCTCATTTCTAGTCCAGATGGCTAGCCTTGTCAACAAAGAACTTGTCCTGGATTGTCTGAATTACTGGAATCAGAGTAACTTCACAACTCATCAAGTGCAATTTCTTGACCCTACCATTTTCTCCAGAGGGCATTTATTCAACAAGGGGATGCTGTAGATATATTAATTTTTCTTTTTTCCATGAAACATGTTATCTACTTGCTTTATTTTGAAGGGATATTATGATAAACCATGCCACTATTTAAAATTTTAAAAAGCTGCTTAAGATTCTCAGAAGAAATATAAGGTATAGGTCAAAAAGAGCAAACAGATTTCCTGTTCAAAAAATGCTGTTAATTTGAAAAGCTAATACCTCCAATAGAGAATTCTATTAGGTGAGAGAATCATCATCACACCCCCAGCTACCATGTACACACTTTCTCTTAAAAGTGAAAAGAGAGAAAGCCACTTTGTGTTATGGAAGTGTCTTGTATGTTTTATAAAAGCCCACAGAATATTCAGTGGTTGGAAGAGAGGCTGCTGTATTTATAAGACAATTAGGTTCACTGTTACCCCTGAAGAAGCCTGAAGATGTGACTCTCAAGGGTCTTTGTGCCATGGATGAAAATGGAATCATTATTTTTGAACTCCCCCTGCTCACGTCAGTGACTCCCACCTGCAGATAATCTACTGATTGATTATAAGTAGCCAAGAATCACCTTGCAGATTGTAAGCAGGGTAACCAACCAGAGTCAGCCAAGACCAAACTCCTGGTAAGCTTTACTGAGTCTTTTATGTATTTCATTTCCATTTCAGATGATGCAATAGGAGAAAATCTCTTCTTACACTGCTGCAGTGTGTCTGTCTCAGATGTGTGTATAGGCACCTTTCTTTGTGTGAGGTATCTGAGTTCATTTATTTTCTTTTCCTTTTGGGGGAAAAATTATCATGCATAAATAATTTAGGACTTTTTCTTTTAAGAATTTCTCTTTCTTTGGAGATAGCAATGCAAAATTTCAAAGGTAAAAAAAGCATTTTTACAATTCTAGGTTATATTCATAATTGCTTTGCTCATCACTATATCATGATCTGATCATTATGGACTCCTTTAAGCTAGTCAATTGGATTTTGGAGACCTCATTTGCATGTGAATTTGGAAAAAGGGGACTGCAAAATGCAGGCTGCAAAAGGGGGCTGAAATGAGATGCTATTTTTTTCTTCTTTCAACAGTGTTTCATCTTTCTCTTTTGACTTTTGCCCTTCTCTCCTCTCTTTCTTTCTTGTTGACCATTGGTGGGTATATACCCCATCCATCCTTTCATCCAGCTTCATTCCATCATGCCCAAAGCATTCCTGTGGCTGTGTGTTGCCCTGTTGCTGTGTGTGCTACTTGGGCCTGTGCATGGAGCCACACTGAGAAACAAAGAGAAGTGGAAGCCACTCAACAACCCCAGAAACCGAGATCTGGTAAGATGTGCACTGCTGCAGGGGGAAACTGGCACCTCTCTGGATTGACACACACAGCACTCTGCTAGAGCACAGTGGAGAGAGATTACAAAGGACTAAGACAATTCTTCATCAGAAGCTGATGAGGGTTTTGCTTTCCTAGTGGCTGGTGTCCTATTGTTCCTGTGGCCAGCTGACATTTGTTTCTGTAAGAAGAATCAAATCTATCTTTGGAAATGAGCTTATACACACATAGCACATTACATTTGTAAATGATCTTATCTGCACTTTCACTTTATAGCTTTTATTTCTAATACATGTACAAAATCAAATGTTTTTTGTACAACTTAGATTAAACTGGTAATAAAACAGATTCCCAGGGCCTCCCTGGTGGCACAAGGGGTTAAGCACCACACTATGAAGCAATCTGCAGCCTCTGCAGCAAGAGTTCGATCCCTGGCCGGCCAGGGAGATACCCACATGGCACAGCAGACCTCTCCTGTCTCACCTACTGTTCCCCTCAGCAGTGTATTTCAATCAGTCTCCCTGTTCTGCTCCCCACGCTGTCTCTGGTGAATCCTCTGGCCAGCTCTTGTATGCATAAGTACCCCAGCTCTTGTATGCATAAATAAATAAATCTTTAAAAAAAAAAAACCAACAGATTCCCAGCCAACCAACATTTGCAAAATACACTTGCAAAAACTGAAAGTGGGCCTGCATTCTTATTAATGTATTAGGCAATATTTTCAACATTAAGTTATCTAGGAAATATAATTCAAAATATAAGTAAAAATTCTCTCTTAAATATATACCAACTAGAAGAAACATGCTATGTCAAAACATAGTTTTCCTAAAGAAAATTATATGAAAAATAGCAATGTAGGATTAGGATAATCTGGTAACACTTTGCACAGCTTCCATGTATTCATTTTCTGGAGGTAAGCTGAAAACAAAACATGTCTAAAAGGAAGACACTGAAGAAAATAATGACCGAGAGCTCTCTGTCAGTGAGAGGGGAGATCTCCCAAGATCAGATCATGAGGAGTTCAATTTAATCTCTGACTCTGGCTCTCAGAGATGGCTTTCAATGAACCCTTGGACACTGGTGCTGTGTAATAATTAATGTTCTTCTTTTAATTTCCACCAACAGTGGTGAATTACCTTCAACAAGGTAGGGTCCAAGATAGTGGAGGGGGACAGGAGAAGTAGCCAAAGCTTGTACTTTTGGATTTTCTACATTAGCCTTTAGATCAGTTGAAGGGGGAAATACTCATTGTCAATTATTTTGATGTTTATATATGGCATTGAACTTTTTTTTTCTCTCTTCAGTTTTTCAGAATCCTTCAGGAATATTTTAAGGGAAGAGGTCTTGATCTTGGCAGGTTTCCAAGTACTTTCTCCATGAATGAGAATCCCAGGCCTCTCTCTTTACAATCAGAACTTATTGCTTCTGCATTTACAGATTATGAAGAACAGAAAAATTCCTTTCCCAGTTACCTCAAAGGCTAAATGTTCCTTCTGCACACAGGTAAAACAATGTTCTCTTTATTCTCAGGATTCATTAAGACTTACAACTTACTCATAAGGAGATTTGGAAATAATTTATTTGAAAAATGATTTTATTTTCTTATGGACATAAGTCCTTGGTTAAGATGGTTCTCATCAATAATAAAGTTTGGATATGGTTCAAATATTTATTGTCTGGTTATAAAATAAAATGACATGATTTTTTAGCATAGTTTTACATTAACATAGGATTATCACTTTTAACAGGATTATTAAATATAGGCAACACCATTTACAGATATCTTTTTAAAACCAGGCCATATGCTAACTTATGTGAAAAAATCACATACAAAGAAATATATTGACTTGTACAGTTGGATTAAAAGGAGTGTGAAAGTTAAAAGAACAATTCTTTTTGGGAGAAAGTATGAAGCATATATTTGAGTTTGAATTTCTTCACCTAGAGAAAAAAGGTAGAATAGTAATAAAATGGCATTTTTCTCATAGAAAAAAGTTAGAAATTTATGTTTAAGATTTGAATGTTGTTATTTGTCAGCATTCCTATAAAAAATGTCTACCATTTAGAAAAGAATAGGTATGAAGCATGCCAAGAAAATGAATTATTAATATTGTCTAACAGATTTTTGTTCAATTGAATAGTAAAAGTAACTGAATCATAAATAAATCTCTTCCTATGAAATTGAAAGGAAGCATAACATCATTGTACTTCATTGTATTTGTGAAAAGATTTTGATTATTCTTTTAAAGTGGTAATGTTTTTTAAAAAATGGTTGTTATGCCTAACAGAAGATGAAATTTACCAAGTGACATGTGCACTTGAAAGCTGTCCTATAATGAGAAAATAAAATAGAATTTTAAAAAATATGTCAGTGAAGAGTTTCCTTAACTGTTTTTACACTTAAACCCGAGGCTAGCAAAAGCTAAAATAAATAGTTATTAGTAGTACTGTACCTAGTTTAATATGAGACATGATTGCATACAAGTTGCTTTAAGCTTCAGTTTCATCTATGAAATGCAGGTACTAATCTCTAACTCACAGACTGTATCAGAGAAATATCAGAAATACATAGTTTTGTGTGAGCATAGAATGAGGTAATGGTTAAGGGTAGAAAGCTGAGAAAGTACTCAGTTGATAGTATTGTAATATAATGGGAATTATTCAACTTTAGGAAAGAAATAAAACTGCTGATTTGGAGAATATTTCATAATTACGAGCTATCCTGTCCTGATGTCTCTGATTAGAAAATGAAGACACAAAGAGTTTTGTTGAAATATGTTGATCTTTGGGTCTTTATTTTGCTTTTTGTCTTCATTTTCTGTTTAATTATAGTATTTTCTTGTTCTTTCAGGTATCTGGCTATTTTAAAACAACAGATGAAGCTTCTCATTAGAAAAAATCAATCATGGTCATGGCTAACCTTTTCTCCCTCCACCTTTGTCAATTTGCAATGATTTTATTCACCATTTCCAAATTTACATATAAATAGCTTTATCTTTGGGACATAGGTGATTTATGTGCATGTTTTTGGAGCACTTTTTCTACTCTATAACCATAAATAGTGACCTAGAATACGGCATGTATTTGTAAGAGCTACAAAAACACCACACTGTCAAAGGAGATGATGATTTTCTCAATTACATGTTTCCTTTAAGTTTATTTTTAAACTTGTTTATGTTGTTATCAATCATAATTTTTATTCTAAAGGAATCTTGCCCCTTTTCACTGTAATTCATTATATTCAATAGAGATTTCAGTTTAAATCAAACAAGATGTATTCCCATTTTCAGCATATGATACTGGAAAGACTTCACAGCCTTAGTTTCATAAGAAGGGAGAGTAAGTGATAACTATCCACAATGAAGTGGAAAGCAAAAAAACATGGCATCCTAGAAGTTACTGGGGTCTCTGGGAGATGTTCTTTACTACTAGTCGAGGTGGACATTGTGGTATACCAAGTATCCCACCCACAAACCCCTCAAGAAAGGAGAGTAGAGATGAATGGATTGCTGCTCTTGTATAGCCAACCCTCCCGCCTACCCCCAACTTTAGCTTTGGCTGAATTATTCTGATTCTCATATTCTTGTTTGGAATAGGCACTTTTCCTGTGTTTTTCTGGAGAGCTGTTTCATTTCCCTGTGATTTTTGCCAAAGGAATGTTGCAGTAGAATGCAAACATTGGTGTGGTGTCCATGTACCACTAGTCTGTACATTCCAAATTAGTTTTCTGTGAATACTGACAATGAATAACAAAAATAAAACACGCAATGACAGATTCTGCATCTGTTTTAATGTGTTCTATTGTAATTATTTCTATGTGTGTGTGTGTTTTCCCTGGAGGGCTATTAGGTCTTTGTGAGCAGAGATGATATCTATGCCATTTTTATTTCTCTAGCACCTAGCACAATGCCTAGCAAGTGTTCAATTAAGTGCTTGTTGAGCTGAAGTAAATGTGTACCATTCTGCTATTATTTTATACAGTAATGGAAACTTTCTAATGTCAAGATTTTGTTAAACCATTCATTTTTTTAAAGATTTATTTATTTGTACATACAAGTACTGCAGTACAGGCCAGAGTTTTGGGGGGTGAGAGGTTTCACCAGAGACAGAGTGGGGAACAGAACAGGCAAATGGACCGAAATACACTGCTGAGGGGAGCAGCGGGCGAGTCAGGAGAGGTCTGCTGCGCCATGTGGGTCACCTCCCTGGCCAGGGATTAAACTTGTGCTGTAGTGGCTGTAGTGAGCTTCATAGGTTGTGTCTTAACCCCTTGTGCCACCAGGGAGGCCCCCTTTAAACCATTTAAAAGATTAAAGTTATTATTGATGAGCTGTTCCTCAAAAAATATAGCCCATTCTGAGAAGTGGTAGAGTGTAGGGAGTGTTTCACTGCTATCCATTTCCATTCAAGTGCCAGAGACTGTTTTTCCCTTTCAACACCCCCACTCTGAATGTGAACGCCTCCACAAAGGGAATAGATGGAATTCCAAGCAATTTAATTCATAAAAGTTTTGAACACAAATCATTAGGTTACAGTGGAGGGTTCACAGATTCAGCAGGTAGTGCTGTTCTCAAGATGGTTACCACTGGTGTGTCTAGAATAGGATAGGCAGAGAAATATAATCCAAGGTAAAGAATAAACCAGGGAGTTGTTGGAGTTGAAAAACAGTTCCACCCAGGGAAGGCAGTATATCATATAATTTCAAGCATGGGATTTGGAGTCAGAAATATCAGGGTTCAAACCCTGGCTCTCCAACACTAGTCCCCCTAATCCATACTTACTCATTTGCAGGTTTCTGGTACCTACAGTGAATGGTGGACCAAAAATATTATGTGCAATAAGATATTTTGAGTGACCACATTAACATAGTTTTGTTGTAGTATATTGTTATAATTGTTCTGATTTATTGTTACTGTTCCTAACTTATAAACTTAATCACAGGAAAAAACATAGTGTATAAAGGGTTTGGTACTATCTGTCTTCTCCGGCATCTAGTGGTGGTCTTGCAAGGTGTGGGCCCTGCAGACAAAGTGCCAGTGTCTGTTATACTTGCTAGATATTTGCATTTGGAATAACAACATCCGCTTTGTCTCAACATCCACAAGGATTGTTGAAAAATGTATGTTACATGCACAACACTGAGCTGTAGTAAATTGGCAACAGTGTAGAAGGAGCCCGAGGAAAGTGAATGTGAGAATTTGTGCAAGAAGGGAAAATTGATGGTGCCATTAACTGGAGGGGATGAAATTCAGAGCTAAATTAGGGGAGGACTCTAGCTTTCAACAACAACAAAGAAGTGGAAATTAAAATAAGCACACGCCAGACCCAAAGGTTAAATTAAGAAAACAAAACAAAACAAAAGAACCACTAGAGTGAAAAAACAGATTAAATTTCTAGGGCGGAAAAAAAGATTCAGAAAAGGAAACGGATTGGGGTAAATGATCTAATGAACGAAAAATTCTTCAAAGCACATCTTTTTCAAGTCCTTAATAAGCAGAATCCCTCCACCCTTTGCTGGGTCCCGCGGGCGCGGGGAGGGTGGGTCGCGGGAGGGTGGGTCGCGGGAGGGAATGGGGGAGGAGCCGGGCCTGGCGCGCCCCCGGAACCCAAGTGTAGCAGCTGCGGTGCAGGCCGAGCCGGTTTCGCGAGGACTCTGGGTCGCGTCTAGGAGGAAGTGCGTTTCCGCTTCTGCATTCCGCTTTTTGGAGCTGAGCGTCCTAACCCCGCAGACATGTCGGGGTTCAGCCCGGAGCTCATCGACTACCTGGAAGGGAGAATCTCCTTTGAGGAGTTCGAAAGGAGGCGAGAAGAGAGAAAGGCACACGAGAAGAAAGTGAGGAGATACTAGACCCGGATGCTTATCCCTGTCTTGTTGCCCTAATACGTTTAGGCAGGTGGGAGGGACCCAAATGACCCCTTTCGCTATTTGGGGGCGGGCCGAGAACTCCCAGCTGTTTCGCCCCATTCTTAACCAAAACTCTGGTTCTCACCCTTCATCTTTGTGCTTAGCTCCTTTTGATAACCTCCGCCCCCCCCCCCCCCAGCATCTGCATCCGTGGTAACCTTGTTTTTCTTTTGCCAAACAGTAAAATTTTACTTAAGGAAGGATAGTTTTAATGCAGGTTGGTTAAATTTGTAGTTGGGAGTAGAGTTTGAAATTCGAGTATCTACTAGCTAATCTTAGCTTTTCCATTAAGGCCTTTTGTGACCTTGGATGGGCAACTGTCCTGTCTTCTCACTTTTTCTGTTTCTGAATAGAGATCTGAATTCCCGTTTTTGAGAAGTCTCCCAGGAATGTGATACAGCTTTCTTGTTTGATAACAAGATCTTCACTCATATTTTTTCAAACTTTTGAAGAAATACCTAACATATCTCTTACTTATTTGAAGTTAAAGGGAAAGTAAAAAAAAAATTACACCTTTTGAAATAAGCTAGATTCTTTCCTAATTCATGTAGCTAGTATGCTCAATCTTTTTTCATTGAAAAGGTTTGGACACAATGTACAGATTAATGGAATCATCAAATTTTGTTTTTTAATTATTTTTTACAAATGACTGACTGAAAGATGAGATCTAGATCCTCCGAAATGCTCTGACAGTTATCACATTTAGATTTCACCTACTGTATATGTGTGCAGAGCTCAAGTTTTATAGAAACAAAAAATGATGCAAATGTCCCATTCCCAGTTGGACAGTGCTATGTCTGCTTTAGCTTTAGGAATCATTAATTCATATTCAATCACAGACTCTTCAAGAAAAAGGAAAGTTGGCAGTTGAAGAAAATCCAAATGACTCTGAAATTCCATCATCATCAGGAATTGACTCTACCAAATTCCAGGATAAAGATGTCAATGAAGGTATGTTAGGATCATTTGCAACCAGCATTCGATATTAAGAATACCTAATAATTGAATGAAACATTTTTTTCATTGCAGTGGCATTCTGTTGTTTATTACCTGATTTATCAGGAGCATGATGCTTGGTACATCATTCTCAATAAATTTCTTGAGTTAATGAATGTGAGGATAATTTTGGGGGAGATTTTTGTGAGAAAGTTTCAAATTAATGGTGCTATTCGAGAGCTTTTTAAGTGTCATTTAAAAAAACTGAACTCTCAGTTGTTTACTAATTCCAGACTGTACTCCCTCAAATTGTAGAAATTACTCTTCTATGTAAAGTGGCTTCTGAACCACTCCTTTAGTTTTAAAGGATAAGATAGAAATGTCAGAGTGAAAGGACAGTTGATCTATTCCTTATCTCTGCATGTCTAGATTTTGAATTTAGTTAGTGCACCAGTGCGTAAACTCACGGGATCCTAATTGATGCACTCACATGCAAATTTATTAATTTCTGGTAATTATATACCTTTTTAGTGATCAGAATACTGATAATTGTTCCTGGCATCCATTTACTGCTGTCATATTACTTGGGATGCTGAACTATCCATTAGAATGTAGCTTGGTGTATAAGATTTGACTGAAGTTGAAATTAAACTCTCTTGTCCTAAGGGGTAGAAATAGAGGCAGATTCTTTACTTTTTAAGTTACTAATCCTTTGCACAGAGAACACATTTATAGCATGAACAGAAAAGAAATAGACTTTATTACTACCTCCTTGGTCCAAGTGGGAAAGAAAGAGCAAAAAGGAGAAAAAAAAGGCAAAGTTCTTACTTTGCCAGGCAATTTGGGTAGAAAAGGGGGCCAAAGTTCTAATAACCTGTGGGTTCTTCCTTATCTGCTCTTCATCATAAGGTCTTTGAGATGCAACTGCAGTAGCAAGCATCACTTACTTGCCAGTACTGTTGCCTAACCTGCCCCTAAGAGGTGGACATCAGGCGCTTCCTAAAAAAAAGTGTGTGTGTGGGTGCAAGGGGAGGGTGTTAATTGAATTCAGTTGTAGCTCATTATGAGCTAGAATAAATGGCTTTGAGACAGATTTCTTCTTTGTTTTGTTTTTGGTAGTGTTCATTTGTCTGTATTTTACTTACAAGTTTGAGGTTGCTGGGGTAGAAATTTATGTTCTGGGCTTTCCTGGTGGTGCAAGGGTTAAGTCTCAGCACTATGAAGCAATCCGCAGCCACTGTAGCATGAGTTCGATCCCTGGCCAGGGAGCTACCCACATGGCACAGCAGAACTCTCCTGTCTCACCTGCTATACCCCTCAGCAGTGTATTTCAGGCAGTCTCCTTGTTCTGCTCCCCACTCTGTCTCTGGTGAATCCTCTCACCCCCCCACCTCTGGCCTGTACCCCAGCTCTTGTATGCATAAATAAATAAATCTTTTTTTTTTAATTTATGTTCCAAAAATATGTATTTTTCTTTTGATTACTTGAATGTTTGAAAGCTTCTTTATTTTTTCAATTTCATGGTGTCTTTCTTAGGAGAAACTTCAGATGGAGTCAGTAAGTCAGTTCACAAGGTCTTTGCTTCCATGCTTGGAGAGAATGAAGATGATGAGGAAGAAGAAGAGGAGGAGGAGGACGAGGAGGAGGAAGAAACACCTGAGCAGCCCACTGCAGGCGATGTGTTTGTATTAGAGATGGTTCTCAATCGTGAAACCAAGAAAATGATGAAAGTAAATTATTTCTTATTTTGGTATTCATAGACAGATGTGAGAAAATGACATAGTAACTGAAAAAAGAAATCTTTAAATTATATTCAGAAAACAATTCAAGCTGTATGAAAGGAAATGTGAGAAAGCTATTGTCACTAATTTCTCATCTTTCATTTTAGAGATTTATTAGCTGTAAACCTTAGTCATTACATGTATCAAAATATAGTATAGTTTTTCTGTTAAAAGGTTCCATTTTAAACCAAATAGAAAACCCAGAAATAAACCCACAGATTTATGGTCAACTAATCTTTGACAAAGGAGCACAGAATATGCACTGGAGCAAAGAAAGTTTGTTCAATAAATGGTGCTGGGAAAACTGGGTCTCTACATGCAAAAGAATGAAACTTGACTACTACCTCATACCATGCCCCAAAACCAACTCAAAATGGATTAAAGAACTAGACATAAGACCTGAAACCATAAAATATATAGAAGGAAATATAGGTGAAACACTACATGACATATACCTCAAAGACATCTTTACAGACATATCACCCAAAGCAGTGATAGTGAAGGCAAAGATAAACAGCTGAGACTACATCAAATTAAAGAGGTTCTGCACAGCAAAAGAGACAATAACCAAAACAAAGAGAAACCCCACCAACTGGGAGAAAATTTTTGCACACAATAATGATAAAGGACTGAGCACAAAAATCTACAAAGAGCTGATGAGACTCAACAAAAACAAAGAAAATAATCCAGTCAAAAAGGGGCAGAATAGCTAAAAAGAAACTTCTCCAAAGAGGAAATGCAAATGGCCAACAGGCATATGAAAAAATGTTCAACAACATTTGTAATCAGGGAAATGCAAATCAAAACATCAATGAGATACAATCTCACACCAGAGAGAATGGCACATATGAAAAAAACTAGCAACAACAAATGTTGGCGAGGATGTGGAGAAAAAGGAACTCTCCTGCACTGTTGGTGGGAGTGCAAACTGGTCCAACCACTATGGAAAGCTGTGTGGAGATTCCTCAATCTGCTCAACATGGAGCTTCCATATGATCCAGCAATTCCACTCCTAGGTATTTCCCCAAAGGAACAGAAACATTAATTCAAAAGGGCACCTGCACCCTTATTTTTATAGCAGCACTATTTACAATAGCTAAGCTTTGGAAACAACTCAAATTCCCAAAAATAGATGACTGGATCAAGAAGATGTGGTGTGTATACACAATGGAATATTACTCAGCAATCAAAAAAGATAAACTCATGCAATTTGCAGCAACATGGATGGACCTGGAAGGGATCATGCTCAGCAAAATAAGCCAGAAAGAAAAAGAAAAATACCAAATGGTCTCACTCATAGCAGGAATTTAGAAAACCTAAATAAGAGACCAGGAAAAAGAATAACTATAATAAAGAAAAAAATCAAAATCAACAAGCAGCTATAAACCAGAGGCAAACTATGGGGAGCGGGGAGGAGGTATTGGGGTCAAAATTAGGGGGGGGGGTGCAATTGTATGGGGAATATAAAAAAAAAAATTAAAAAAAGTTAGTTTGTGTTTAAATAGAAATTTAGCACTTTCAAATAAATATGTTTAGTACTTAAAAAAAAGGTTCCATTTTATAATGACATTTTTAAACTAAATTCTTTCTGGGTCTTTGGTAAATTATATCATAATAAACCTAGTGGCATAGAAATCCATTTTGCAGCATCCACTTCTCCATTTGTTGTTATTTGAATTAGTAATTTAATAATTTCTTACCACTTTGGGTATTGCTTTCTCTCTATATTTTACTGTTTTAGCATGCTTCAGACTTTCTACTGTAGGAAGTTTTTTTTTTTCCCCCGAGATGCTCTGTTTTGGAAACTATCATAGAATAATTTCTTTCTTCCCTGCAGTTGAATATTAGACTTTCTTGAAATATAAACTTTAATGTTAATGATCGTTAGAATTACAGCCATTTAGTCCAGTTCTGAATTTATAAAATTGATAAGTTTTTAACAAAAATTTCAGGTCTGTATTGATTAATATGGTAGGAATTAAAATTTAAGACATTACTGTATTTAAATCAAAATGTCGTTTTTGTTCTGTACAGGAGAAAAGGCCTCGGAGTAAACTTCCCAGAGCTCTCAGAGGCCTCATGGGTGAAGCCAACATTCGCTTTGCTCGAGGAGAACATGAGGAGGCAATATTGATGTGCATGGAAATCATAAGACAAGGTATGTTCTGTGGGATTATTGATAATATTTAATAGTCTGACTTTTCAAACAAATGGAGGCTCACTTCACTATACTTTTTTGGGCTTCCAGAGGTGGTTATATAAAAGTGATTCCCACTTTTTATATTGAGCAGGAATTATAAGAAAAAAAATTACAGAGTATATTTTAATGAAGTATTAATATTTATTGAACTCACATACTTATTTTTTGGGTTTTTTTTAATGTTTTATTTTAGGGGTTTTAGACTTTTGTAGTGTTAGTTTTTTTAAATATGTCAAAGACATATTGTTAGAACCACTTGAAGAATGTTGTTTTTTTCCTTCCATTTTACAAATCAGGTAATGCTAGGTATCTTCATCTACCTTTTGGTGAAAGACACATATTATATACCATACATCTTCCATTAAACTACAGATCTTGGACAGAGTGAAGGATATCCCAGAGTAACTTTTTGACTAAATACTTATATTTCCTATTTTACTTTCTTGATGCATTGCATTGTGTAGTTGCAATAGTGTGAACTTTTTCATTTATCTTTTCAACATTTTGGCATTTCCTTTCATTTAGAATAGGGTAATTTTAGAATTCTTATTATAAATTTCCTGGGCTAGTCACTAATTTGAGGTTACTGCTTTTTCATTTTTTATCCCAGCAGAAATAAGATTAACCAGACTTTCCCTTTCCTTCAGGATATTTTGTTTGGTTCCTACTTCCCAATACTTGTTTCTTCAGTTTATAAAAATTATTTATTTTTGACAATTACCTTTGATTTTAACCTATCATAATCTTACAGCCCCATTTTAAAAATGTTATTTCAGAAATGCAGATTAACCATTCACTTCAATATATCCTGGGTTTAGGTGTTGCTTAGGTGCCCTTGATCCATTCATTCTGTACTCCTGGGTGTGGAAGCCTGCTGAGTTATGAAGATTCAACCTCATGATATGACTGAAGCTCATTGAAATAAACTTTGTTTAGAGAAAAGAATGGATTAAAAATGTCAAAAAATATGTGAAACTAAAGTAAAGCAAATTTAAATTTAGTATTCTAAATAAGTTTGTATAATTCCACTAGAGTTATTTAAAGAGTTTAAGTTTGAACCATGGGATTGACATCATCAGCTCAAGCCTCTTCCCTCAGTCAATGAAATTTGTTTTTTAATTTGGTTTAGCTCCTCTGGCTAATGAGCCATTCTCTACTCTTGCTGTGATATATGAGGACCAAGGTGACATGGAGAAATCACTGCAGTTCGATTTGATTAGTGCACATTTAAATCCCAGTGATACTGATAAATGGGTCAGATTGGCAGAAACATCTCTGGAACAAGACAATATTAAGCAGGCTATTTTTTGCTACACGAAAGGTAATTAAAATATTTTTCTCATAATGTTTGATAAAATGTTACACAGTATGGATATTTGATAATTGTACTTGCTGGGAGGATGTGAATTGAAATTTATGTTTTTCCTGGGGTAAGTATTGGTCTCTCTGTTTTCATGTTTATCAGCAACTTTATTTATATCTTCAGCTTATGCAGCATAGAAGTTGGAAGAATAGCAGAAACTTTAGTTTCCTACCAAGATTAGAGTTGGTTATAAGATTTTCCTTAAAGGTTTACAATCAGATAAGAGCGACCAAGTGAAGATTAGTATGGAGATTCAGAATATATCTTGTCTTGGGTCAAACTTAGTTGAGAGTTGCTGTGAAGGTAGATTTATTTCAGAATAACCTTTTTGGTTCCACTGAAAAATTAATTTAGAATGTATATTAAATTATTTGAAAAGAGATGGGTCACACCCAGCTACCTGAGACCCTTTTTAAAAAAAAAAAAAGATTTATTTTTATTTATGCATGCAAGAGCTGGGGCACAGGACAGAGGTGTGGGGGTGGTGACAGAATCCATCAGAGACAGAGTGGGGAACAGAACAGGCAGATTGACCGGAAGTACACTGCTGAGGGGAAGTACACTGCTGAGGGGAGCAGCGGGCATGTCAGGAGAGGTCTGCTGTGCCATGTGGGTTGCTCCCTGGCCAGCCAGGGATTGAACTCGTGCTGCAGAGGCTGCGAATTGCTTCATAGTGCGTTGCTTAACCCCTTGCTCCACCAAGGAGGCCCTACCTGAGACCCTTATTGTGATAAAATCTTTGTTTTATGTTCCTTTTTTTCTCTTTAGCTCTTAAATATGAACCCACTAATGTCCGCTATTTGTGGGTGCGATCAAGCCTTTATGAACAGATGGGAGATCATAAAATGGCAATGGATGGTTATAGGCGTATTTTGAACCTTTTGTCTCCATCTGATGAACGTTTTATGCAGTTGGCCAGAGATATGGCAAAGTAAGTTTGATGTAAAGTATGTATAGATGCTCTTATTACTTATTTTAGAAATCGAAGCTTATGTATTTGAAGTCAAATATACTTTTTTTTTTTTTTTTAAAGGATTTATTTATTTATTTATTTATTTATTTATTTATGCAAGCACTGGGTACAGTCAGAAGCGCGGGAGGGTGAGAGAATTCACCAGAGCCAGAGCGGGGAGCAGAGCAGGCAGAAGGATGGAAGGCACTGCTGAGGGGAGCAGCGGGCGGCAGGAGAGGTCTGCGCGCCATGTGGGACCCTCCTCCGGAGGCCGGGGAGCAGCCGGGGATCAAACCAGCGCTGCAGAGGCTGCGGGCAGCTTCACAACCCAGTGCTCAACCGCTGCACCACCGGGGAGGCCCTGAAGTCAAATATACTTTTAACTGAGGTTCAAGGATTTTTTTTTTCCCTGTGTTTCTATATTATGTTTAAAAATAAATTTTAAAAAATATAGTTTTTTTTTCTGTTGACTTTTCGTTTACAACTCAACTGTGTGATTGCTTAGAAAAATTTATATATATGATTACATTTCAAGTGCTCAGAAGGTTAAAAATGGGGCATGTACTGAAAGGATGATTTAATTCCCAGATTCCCATAATTTACTTGAAGTTATGTACATTTGCAGTAATAGTATTTTAATTTTATCTATTGCATATGTGCTAATGAAATTTTTATGATCTGGGATCTGCTATAATCATTTTTTTCTTGAGCCAGTACAGAATCATATTTTAAGACAAAAATTCCTAATAGCTGCCACATGCTAAATCATGCCCTAATGCAATTTCTTCTCTGATATACTTATATACAGCAAAACAAAACAGGAAAGATTTTAGCTAAATAATCTCTTGATGTGTTTTTTATCCTAGGGTTATCTACTATATAGTTTTCAGCCTAAGAATAACATTTTTTTTTAAAGATTTTATTTATTTTTTATTGCATAGAAGAATTGGGATGTAGGCCAGAGATGCGGGGATGGGGGGTGAGAGAATTCACCAGATACAGAGTGGGAAGCAAAGCAGGTGGATTTACTGAAATACATGGCTAAGGAGAGCAGCAGGTGAGACAGGAGAAGTCTGCTGCGCCATGTGTGGGATAGCTCCCTGGCTGGAGATTGAACTCAGGTCATTGAGGTGGGCTGTCATGGTAATAGCACTGAGACTTAATCTCTCGGGCACCAAGGAGGCCCAGTATAACATTCTTGGTCTAGGTGTCTTAGGGTTAACCTTATTAATTCCATGGTCATTGTCATGAAGATGCTTGTGAAATCACCCTCTGCCCTCCTAAGAATGGATTTTATAGGAATATAGAGGATTTTTAGCAAATTTGTTGATGCATGGAAACCCTAAGTTGATACCTGATATAAGTGATGAATATTGAGGATCTTCCCAAGTTATCTTCTGTTAGGTCTCTGTCATAGTGATTCTACTTTGCACACTATTAGATGGTCTCTGAGAGTAAATTTGCTTTCTAAATGTATTAATGGTAGTATTTTCTGTTACTGTAACTTTGATTAGGCTTTCTCCCAGTCCCTTATTTCCCTCCAAAAATATTTACTGAATATATATTATGTACTAAGCATCGTTAAAAGGTGCCGGGATGTCCAGTATTGAGTGAGTTTAAAATTTGCTGCCCTTGTGGATCTTTACATTCTACTTGGAGAGAAATAACAACTAAATAAATAAACAACTAAATACATAGTACATCAGATGTTGATAAGGGATATGAAATCCAATGAAGCAGGGAAGGGGAGATAGAAAATTGAGGTTTAGGAATATATTATTCAAAATAGGGTGATTGGAAAAAGAGTTAATTCTCTGTTATGTTCACATTGACCAGAAAGTGAACTGAAGGGCGTGTGGGAGCAAGAATTAGGGAAGAGTTATGACAGGCAAAGGAAATGGCGAGTGCAAAGGTTTGCCTAGGGAACTGCATGGCAGGTGAGGGTTTAATGAATGCATCCCACGGGTCAGAGGACATAAAGTCAGAGATATCAGGGAAAGTTTACATAGCCCTATGGATCATTGTAAGAGCTTTGACTTTTACTCTAAATGAGTTTGAAAGTCACTGGAGCATAGTGAGTAGAGGTAGAGAGTGGCATGATCTAGCTTAAATTGTAAATGCCTCGGTTCTGGCTGCTTTTTTGAGAACATATTGATGAGTGGTGAGGGCAGACAGGAAAATCATTTAGGAAATTACTGCAATAATCCATGAAAGGGATAATGATAACTCAGCAGGGTAAAAGCGGCAGGAGGTGGTGAGAAGTAATTAGATTCTGGCTATATTTTTAAAAGGCCAAGTTCACAGGATTTCTGATATTTTGACTATTAGGTAGGGTGTGTGTGAGAGAGAGAGAGGAAGAGGAGAGAAGAGGCGAATTCTTAGGACTAAATGGTGAGGTGCTCTAGAAGTCAGGAAGATGAGCAGGAAATGTGAGAAAATGAAAGGAAATGAAAATGGACAGCCTGATTTAAGAAGATGCAAATTTTATTGGAGAGAGCACTTCAAGAAGGGATGATCATCTATGTGAAATACTGCAGATAGGTCATGTAAAATAAGGACTGAATTTTGACATTGGATATGGGATGAGAGGGTCTTGGGGTATAGGTAACTCTGGAGAAAGTTATAAGGGGATCAAAGAAAAGGGGAGGTAATTGGAATGGGTGTAGAGGTAAAAATGTATTTCAAATGGGAATTATGCACAACTGAGGGACATCGAACATTCATGAAAGAAGGCACAATTACTTGATAGATACCTTTTTTTTTATTTTAAAGATTTATTTATTTATGCATACAAGAGCTGGGGCACTGGCCAGAGGTGTGGGGGTGAGAGGATTCACCAGAGACAGAGTGGGGAGCAGAACAGGCAGAATGACTGAAATACACTGCTGAGGGGAGCAGCGGGTGAGTCACGAGAGGTCTGCTATGCCATGTGGGTAGCTCCCTGGCCAGGGACTGAACTTGTGCTGCAGTGGCTGTGGACAACCTCATAGGTTGCGTCTTAACTTGCGCCACCAGGGAGGCCCAAGAGATATCCTTGAGTAGATTGGAGGGAATGGGATCTAGTTGGGGATTAAGTTTACTATAAAAGGATAGGGCAGAAGACATAGTCTTGGATATAGATACTAGGTCATGTATTGGGTTTATATGGGATATTTGTTTTGATTCTCTTTGTAAAACAAGAAGTGGGGTCATCAGTTGAGAATGAGGTTAGAGAGTGTTGGAGGTTTGACAAACAGCTAAGAAGATGTGAAATGGTTGTCTAGGTCCTTAGGAACTTGCTGTCGCACAGACCAGCAGCGTTGCATCACCTGGGAGCCTGTCAGAAATATAAACTCTCAGCCCTACCCCAACTCTACTCAATGAGAATATACTTTTTTGCAAGATCCCCGGTTAATTTGTATATACATTCCACTTTGAAAAGTACTGGGCAGTACCGGGCAGTGTAACTGATCAGCACCATGGTCTAGTTGAGGCTTGTGGTCATTAATTTAGTTTGAGTCTGGACAATATAGTCAGCTGGGAAGGTGGTGAGGAATAGTAGGCATATGACTTATCCAGGGTTGGGGTTTTGTCAGATGATTTTGATAAAGGGTGATAAGGGTAGGAGAATTAGGAAATGTACAAGGGAGTGATTATACTCTTAAACCATGGGAGGAGGAGTGTATGGACAGGAATGGTACAGAAAACAGCTTTATAGAGGTAGAAGCTGTTGTATTGGGTTACAGAGAGAATGAACTGGAATGATGGGAGGCAGCTTGTGGAGAGTAAAGTGCTTGATATCATGATATTGTTATGCTGACATTTATATTCTCTGGATCAGCTGTGATTATGATTTTAAGGACGTTTTTTCTCCACAATTTTAAGAAAATGAAAATTATAGTTAATAGAGAGCTTAAGCAAAGAAATGGGTTTTATAATTGGTTAAGTAAATGCTTATTTAATTTTGCCGTTTATTTTTTTAGGAGTTACTATGAAGCCAATGATGTTACTTCAGCTATTAACATTATTGAAGAAGCTTTCTCAAAACACCAGGGTTTAGTCTCCATGGAAGATGTTAATATAGCAGCTGAACTATACATTTCTAACAAACAATATGACAAAGCTTTGGAGGTAGGAACTCTGTTAGATTTTGAACGCATTTCTGTGTTCTAGAAGTTTTTATAAACTGAGTTTTCATTTAGCTATTTACATATTAAAATACATACTAAATTTCATATTTAAAGTGTGTATGGAAACTATTTCTAGATTCCAAAGTAATTCCACATGAAATATGAAATGTAAATATCATGATAAAAGCTGTAGCTATTATCACAGGTGTCAGATATGTCTGTACTTCAAGGTAGTAGAAGTCAGCAGGCAGTCTGTGATTCGGTTGCTCTGATTCAGTTCTTAAGCTTTTGGGAAAAGTAGATAGTTTGATACAGAGGAATTATAAGCATTAACCTTTAGTAAGCATTAATGTGATGTGAAAGTTAATATATCACAATGTTATTTCAAAGAAACTTATTCTTTGTTTTTTTATAGCTGATTTATGTGTTGTAAGGATTATTTAAATTAACTCTGCAACTCTTTGCAGTGTGGAAATGTTATCCATGCATACTTTTGTCTTATTTTCTTTATTTCCTCATTCTTTTAGGTAATTACAGATTTTTCTGGAATTGTGCTGGAAAAAGATACAGAAGAAAGCACTTTGGAAGAGCACAAAGGTTGTAGTTTCCTTGCATGGGGAAGCATATATAATCCTTCCTTGTTCATAATGTGTCAATTTGAAATTGATAGTTAATGTTCTCTTTAGAAGTTTTCCCCAGAAACATTCTTTCTGCTGAGAGATTTCATTGTTTTCTTGTATTCACTCACAAGTAATCTTGACAACATTGTTTTTGGACCTTTCATATCTCAATATATGTCCATTTGAACACTGCATTTTTATTTAGTCATGGTGTTTTTAGGTTATGGAAAAAAAAAGAATGAATTGCTAAATGAACAGCTTATCAGAAACCTGTAGCTCTAAAGTAATTTACTTTTCAAAAAGGACATCAGATGCTCTCCTTGAAGAAAATTCTGCTTCAAACTTAAGCATTCACATAAAGAATAAATACTAATGTAACCACCTTATATTGTTTGAAAACTTAACATATATAATTAGGAATCTGGTTAGAAAGTTGTCGCTATAGTATGATTTGCTCTGTCCCTAATCCTAGTTTTCTTTGTACCACATCCATTAACTTGTTCTCTGAAAATACTCAGTGATCTTCTTTGGAGCAGAGTGGATATCCCTGTTCTTACAAAAAATTCTTGCATACCTTCTACCCCTATCCCATGCAGCTTTTATTGGTGATGGGGGAGCAAGGAACGCACTTGGTAACAAGTGCTGTCTGCTTCAAAATAGATCCCTCTCTAACTTCTCATGATGGCAAAAAATTCCATCATTATGTAATCCCTTGAGTTAAGACATAATTACTCAAAACCAAAAACCTTTTTATTTAAAGATCCTTCTTAAAAGAGAGCAGTAATTAATTTATACTACTCATTTTGTGCTAATTCATATACATCAAGGCCCAAGATGGGATATGATGCATGTTGACATGGAAAGTTATCAGGAAATGAAAAGCTCAGTTCAATAAGTTTCTTATCAGGCTCTATACTAAGTGTGTGGGGAATACTTAGCTAAGTATAAAATTGTCTGCTCTCAAGGAAGTGCGGAGGAGTTCAAGTGAAGTGTATACAATTTAATTATAAGAGGAGCTGTGTAATAATTTCTGTGGTAAAATTGGCTTTATGAGAAAATAGAGGAGGGCAGTATACCAAGGTCAGAGGAGGTATCTAGAGGTAAGGTTTCAGCAGACATCTATGGGTAAATATATCAGGCTGAGGTCCCAGGGTGTGGGAGAATTGCTTGGTATGGACAGGATCAGATAGGAAGCTTTGGTGGGTGATCTTAAATGATTAGAGTGGGGTGAGTGAGTAAAGTTAAGGAATGAGAATTGTAATTCTATGAAAACATTTACTAGGCCATCCGAAGGACTGCCAGTTTTGATACTTTTCTTTCTTTTCTTTTTTTTTTTTTTTAAAGATTTATTTATTTTTATACAAGAGCTGGGGTATAGGCCAGAGATGCCGGTGGGGGGGTGGGGGGGTAGAGGATTCACCAGAGACAGAGCAGGGAGCAGAACAGGCTGAAGGACTGAAATACACTGCTGAGGGGATCAGTGGGGCGACAGGAGAGGTTTGCCACGCCATGTGGGAATCTCCCTGGCCGGCTGGGAATCGAACCTGCGCTGCAGAGTCTGCAGACAGTTTCACAGTGCTGCATTCGCCACCAGGGAGGCCTTGATACTTTTCTTGCACCTGATTTAGGTTAGAGCTGAATCTCAATTTGTTATCTTGTAGCTATTATTTCTGTTTAAGATTTGTCTTTAAAAAAATATATTCGGTTTGGAAATTATTGCTATCCTTTGTCCTGGTAAATATTAAAGAAATGCAGAATTCAAGGTTTAGTTGTAGGTTTAGTCATTTTGTTAGTTAGTATATTTTACTGTGTTCCATTGACCCTTCTTCCTTCCCTTCCTTCTAGTCCTCCCTGCTTCCTGTCCACTTCCTGTCCACTTCAGTTTCATAATGATTTAGCATATCCGAAGTCACGGAACGTCTTAACATAAGTCAATGACTTGTTAGTTTTAAGTTGTGTTTTTCTTTCTTAGTATATAAAATAGTGGTATATCTGAACTCTGTGACATCTTAAAATTGATGAAAAAACTTTAAAGAAAAAGATATGTCCAGAAGACTATGAGATTTAAATGTTTCCAGAGTAAGCAAAGATAGTGTTTCTTACATACATTTTGGAAAACAAGAACATTTGTTAGTGTGTTAAGTATTGCTCTTGAAATTCATATTTTATCAATTCTTGTAAAAGACCTAAAAGTTCAGGAGAATAAATTGTTAGTGGCTAAAAATCAAGCTCTTTAAAAGATTCTGTTAAGGGTCTTATTTATGTTGTAGAAGCAATAAATAATAAATTACTTTCTTGAGCATTGTCTGGTTGCCATTCAAGCATCTGAATACTTACTCTTTTAAATACAGTTTCTGTACTTACCTGATTAAATTGGAAATTGCCATAGTTTTCAATTTACTCTTTGAGTAATACTTCCCTGTAGCATCATAAAGTACACTTCTTGCCTTTTTAAATATGATTGACCTGATTTCTCCCGTTTGATAGTGAGATTATAACCACTACTTGGAATTTACTAGACTTTACAAAATATAAAATACTTTAAGTGAATAAAACTTCCTTTAATTTTCCAGGACTTTAAAATTCCTGTTGCTGTTTTAGAAAATAACATACTATTATTTTATCCTTTTCTCAGCCTCTTTGTACTGAAGACTTGAAAAAGGGCTTTTGTATCCAAGAAGAAAAAAGAAATTCATATACCCTTGATTATCATCTGTATTTTTATAGTTCTCTATAGCTTTGATAGATGGTGTAGGAGTTTATGTAGATTTTAGATAAGTGTGTAAAGTATTAAGAAAAGAATAGAAAGGGTAATTGCTACTGAAAGACAGACTGAAGGAGGTATGAGAACCTAGTAATAGATTTGGCTAAATTTAGAATTGAATATGGAATTACTTACTTTGAAGTACATGATCTCTTACATGGAAGATATCATTTGCTTTATTTGCCTCACATTCTAAACTTGATGTAGGAACTACTTTTTGTCTGTTCCATAGATGGTGAAAATGTTACCTGCTCTATACCTGATAGCGTGCCAATAGATATCACGGTGAAGTTGATGGTCTGCCTTGTACATCTTAACATCCTGGAGCCACTTAATGTAAGAAATGTTAAGATCTGTACTTGAGATACTTCAGATTCTATATGTAATGTTTTCTTTAAATGGGAAAAAATTTAAGTTGATCCTAGATTTCACATTTCTTAATAACCAGAAAGTTATGGTCAGCATCAAATTATCTTTATGTGAGTGTCTTAAAGTGTTTTGAAACTAGATTTGTGATAATGTGTCTCTTTTGAAATGAGAACAATCTAAGATCAGAATTTGAGATTGAATCTTTTAGATAATTGTGATGATGCTGATATCTATTCTTTTTTTGTCGACTTTGGATCAAGTATTTCATTGAATAAATTGGGTTATCTTCTTTGCTGACCTTAGTATAAAGTATTAAATAAAGTGTGCATATCTCTACCTTCAAGTATCTCTTCTTCTAATGGGATTAGATAGATAATAAATAAATAAATATGGAAAATAAAATACAATGTTAGGTGGTGGTAAGAAACTTGGGAGAAAAATCAAGTGGAAAATAGAGAATATTGGGATGGAGGAGATGCACTTTTAATTCAGGTGGGCATGAAAGGCCTCACTGAAAAGGTGACTTGTGAATAATGACCCAGAGGAAGGGGGAGGTAAGCTTCGTCCACATTTGCGAGAAGAGCAGTTCAGTGTTATGTCCGCTCCTACAAGGCCTGTCTTCCAGTAGGGCCTCAGAAGTGATGGGTTGAATAAAATATGAGTTCTTTTTAATAGAGATACACAAGTGAATAGAAAGACAGTTATATAGAGCTGTTGTTTTTAAGCCTTGCTCCTCCTATGGGCTTGCCTTACAAAACTGGTATATATTTTAAAAAGAGAAATGTGCATAGTTGGGCATATTTATAATGAATGTTTGACCTCAGGCTTTTATTTTGGGGTCTAGCCTCTGCTGACAACACTAGTGGAACAGAATCCTGAAGATATGGGAGACCTCTATCTAGATGTTGCTGAAGCTTTTCTGGATGTTGGTGAATATAATTCTGCACTCCCCCTCCTCAGCGCATTAGTCTGCTCTGAAAGATACAACCTTGCAGTAGTTTGGCTTCGGCATGCAGGTAATACTTCTTTTGTGGTAATACTTCTTTAGTGTCCTAGTGACAGTGTTTCCCATGTTGTAGGGCAGTACTTTAAATCAGTCTTAAAATGTCAGTATTTTAAATCATCTTGGTGTACCCCATTAGGTAATTTTCATCACTAATGCTCTGAAGCTATGATTCATTTAATAGTAATCAGAGTAATGTAGAAGGACTAACTAGTCCCTGTTAAAAATATTTTAAATGCCTGTCTTTTACCTTTCTAAACCATAGGCTTTGGTTATTAGTAATAGATTGTCAGACTTGTGAAATCTAATTTTTGAAGAGTTTTTATGGATTTATATTTCATGATATTTTGAGAAAAAGTTAATATATTTTCAGTGTTCTTTGAGCTGTAAATATGCTCAAGATTGGGCTTTATCATTTTTGTTTCATTGTCTCTAAGTCCACAATAGTCTGAAATAAATCACTAGAGTAAGAAAAAAATAACAAGAAAAATCTCTTAAAGAAATATATAAGGGCCTCCCCGGTGGCGCAGCGAAGCGCTGGGTTGCGAAGCTGCCGGCAGCCTCTGCAGTGCCGGTTCGATCCCCGGCTGCTCCCCGGCCACCGGAGGAGGGTCCCACGTGGCGTGCAGACCTCTCCTGCCGCCCACTGCTCCCCTCAGCAGTGTACTTCAGTCTTTCTGCCTGCTCTGCTCCCCGCTCTGGCTCTGGTGAATTCTCTCACCCTCCCGCGCTTCTGACTGTACCCAGTGCTTGTATAAATAAATAAATCTTTAAAAAAAAAAAAGAAAAGAAATACATAAAACCCAGAAACATTCTAATAGGATTTCCTATTGAATTAACATTAAAGATGCATTAAAATTTGAATGTTCCTGGTTTAAAATATTGCATGATGACAGAAATTTCTAATAGTTCTTAAAATACTACATAATAGCAAAAAGTTTCTGACTAGAGAAGTATTAATTGACATTTTGGGATATGGAGACATATCACAAATATGAAATAGCAAAGAGAACACTTAATAATTAAGATAACACGTTATTGTTCGATGAGTGAACATGAAAACAAATGTAATACCATCATAAAAGACTATATTGTTTGTGATGCTAAAATTTAAAGACAAGTGCCTAGAGTTGAAGTTTGTATTGCCTTTTTAAGACTGTGATATTGAAACTGCTCTTGTTACTAATATGATACTTTATAAATCCCATCAATTTCTGCTCATAATGCTGGTAAATGCTGTTTCCTTTTTGAGCCTGTGTGGTTTGAGATAAATAGGAGATAAAACTTGTGAATCATCTTAATAAAAAAATTTGGGAATCTTTATACAAGAAAGATTGGTAAAGGAAATTAAAGCTTATAGCATAATAGCAAATAATACCTTTTGAAGTAAAAAAAAAAAGTAATGAGAAATGCCATCGTGATGATCCTTCCATATTTAGAAATCTTTCTTTACTATCAAAGATTAACCTAAAGATATAATCATTTGGAAAGATGTGAGAAATTTGAGATTTGAGAAAACAATTGGAGGCAAAAGTACCTTCTTTGCAGATAATTGCAGTTAAAAGGGAGGTGAAGAGGGCCTCGATTAGTGTTGTGACTGTTAGGGGAGGACGAAAAATTGCTTATAAGGATTTGTCTTCAAGTTTAAATGATAGGATTTAGCAATTGATTGACACAAAATTTGGGGAATAAGGCACAATACCCTCACTTAAGAGAATTTATCCCAAGGTGATAAACTAAGCAAGGGAAGTGTGGGGAGGTAGTTGATAATTCTGAATCTCAAAACTCAAAGAACCTGTCAGGTAACAAATGTAAGTGGCAAATGGGAGGACTGGAGGCAGTGACAATGGAAGAGCCCTGTCTAAAGGTGCTGCTCTTTTTCAGCATGTGCTGTGTGGGAATGGAAGGCCCCACTGGTGTCAGCCAAATCAAGATTTTTCAAAATAACCCAGTAACCTGAATTTCAAAAAGATCCAAGTTTCTAAAAATGTAGATAATTTATTGTCTAAAACATGTGTTTTGTGTTATGTGAGTTAAATTTGTCTGTCAGTTTGTGAACTCTGAGTTATGTACATGAAGATATACATTTATTAGAATGAAAATTTGGAAATAATCTAGATGTCAAATAACGTGATTCAATAAACAATTGTGTTACTTGAGTGTTACAACCATTTAAAATACAAATGAAGAAATAGGAGAACGTTGAAAGCATAATTCTAAGTGAATAAAGCAGAACTACAGTTTATGTATAATGCTGATTCTACCCTTGCAACAGTTTGAATTTAGAGAAATTATTAGATTGATCAGTCAATACAAGATTAGAAGGTATAGCAGTGTTCTACAAATCTTCATACATTTGTTATTTTTTATTGCTATATTTCTTTTTTAATTTTTAATTTTTTTTATTTTAACATTTATCATTTTTTACATTTTTTTAGACAGTATTTGCTTCTCCCCATCCCCTCAGATTGAGTCCCCATAGAATCTCCTTCCCCACAGCACCCATGCACCATCACCACAGTCCCCTGTGCTCCTCCCTCCATCCCTCTCACCCCTCTCCCTCCTCCTCCCCTGCAGGATGTCTCTGGTTTATAATTGTCTGTTTTCGCTTTGTTGTGTTTTGTACTGTTATTATTATTTTTTTTTTTACACTGATGTCTTATGTGGTTCCCCTATATTCCTGTTGTAAGTGAAACCATCCGATATTTTTCTTTTTCCTTCTGGCTTATTTCACTGAGCATAATTCCTTCTAGCTCCATCCATATTGCTGCGAATGGCATGAGTTTATCTTTTTTGATTGCTGAATAATATTATATTGTGTATATATACACATCTTCTTGATCCAGTCATCTATTTTGGGGCATTTGGGTTATTTTCAGGTTTTACTTATTGTAAATAGTATTGCAATAAATAGGTATACAGGTGCTCTTTTGAATCACTGTTTTTGTGTCCTTTGGGTAGATCCCTAGGAGTGGAACTGCCAGATCGTATGTATGGTAGCTCCATTTTTAGTAGATGGAGGAACCTTCAGACAGCTTTCCACAGTGTTTGGACCAGTTTGCACTCCCACCAGCAATGTAGGAGAGTTCCTTTTTCACCGCATCCTCGCCAACATTTGTTGTTGCTTGTTTTATTGATATGTGTGTAAGATGGTATTTCAGTGTGGTTTTGATTTGCATTTCCCGATTATAAGGGATGTTGAACGTTTTTTCATATGCCTCTTGGCCATTTGCATTTCCTCTCTGGAGAAATGTCTTTTGAGTTCTGCCCATTTCTTGACTGGATTGTTTATTTTTTTGTTGTTGTTGAGCTGTGTGAGTTCTTTGTATATCATTGTGATCAGTACCTTATCAGTTGGATGGAGTGCAAAGATTTTTTTTGCCAATCAGTGGGGTGTCTCTCTATTTTGGTTAACGTCACTTTTGCTGTGCAGAAGCTTTTCAGTTTGATGTAATCCCAGGTGTTTATCTTTGCCTTCACTATCACTGCTTTGGGTGATGAGTCTTTAAAGATGTTTTTGAGATGTATGTCTTGTAGTGTTTTACCTATATTTTCTTCTATATATTTTATGGTTTCGGTCTTATGTCCAGTTCTTTTATCCATTTTGAGTTGATTTTTGTGCACGGTGAGAGGTAGTGGTCTAGTTTCATTTTTTTACATGTGGAGGCCAGTTTTCCCAACACCATTTATTGAACAAACTGTCCATGTTCCATTGCATATTCTTTGCTCCTTTGTCAAAGATTAGTTGTTCATATAAGTGCAGCTTTATTTCTGGGCTCTCTATTCAGTTCCATTGGTCTGTGTGTCTGTTTTTGTTCCAATACCAAACTGTTTTAATTATTATGGCTTTGTAGTATAGCTTGAAGTTTGGAAATGTGATACCTCCTTTCTCCTTTGTTTTCATCAGTAGGGCTTTGGCTATTTGTGTTTTTTTGTGGTTCCATAAGAATTTCATCAGTATTTGTTCTATTTCTTTGAAGAATGTCATTGGGATTTTTCTTGGAATAGCATTGAATCTGTATATTGCTTTTGGGAGGATGGCCATTTTAATAATGTTGATTCTTCCAATCCATGAGCAGGGGATGTCTTTCAATTTCTTTGTGTCTTCTTTAATTTCTTTTAACAGTGTTTTATAATTTTCTTTGTATAGGTCTTTCACCTCTTTTGTTAGGTTTATTCCCAAGTGTTTGATTTTTTTGGTTTCAATTATAAAATGGATGGTTTTTTTGATTTCTTCTTCTTCTGATTGACTGTTTGTGTATAGGAAGGCTACTGATTTTTGTGTGTTGATTTTGTATCCTGCTACTTTACTGAATTGGGTGATTATTTTGAGTAGTTTTTCTGTGGAGGTTTTAGGGTTCTGTATGTATATTATCATATCGTCTGCAAATAGTGACAGTTTTACTTCTTCTTTCTCTACCTGGATTCCTTTTATGTCTTTCTCTTATCTTATTGCCCTGGCTAGGACCTCCAGTATTATACTGAAGAGCAGTGGTGAGAGAGGACATCCTTGTCTTGTTCCTGTTCTTAAAGGAAAGGCCTTCAGCTTTTCACCATTGAGAATAATGTTGACAGTGGGTTTGTCGTATATGGCTTTTATCATGTTAAGGTATGTTCCTTCTATCCTGAGAATTTCAAGGGCCTTCATCATAAATGGATGTTGGACTATGTCAAATGCTTTCTCAGCATCTACTGATATGATCATATGGTTTTTATTTTTCTTTTAGTTGATGTGTTGGATTACACTTACAGATTTTCATATGTTGAACCATCCTTGTGCCATTGGGATGAATCCCACTTGATCGTGGTGTACTATCCCTTTGATGCATCGTTGGGATTCTGTGGCAAGGATTTTGTTGAGGATTTTTGTGTCAGTGTTCATTAGGGAGATTGGCCTGTAATTTTCTTTTTTTGTGCTGTCTTTGTTTAGCTTTGATATTCATGTAATGTTGGCTTCATAGAACGTATTTGGTAGTATTCCTTCTTTTTCAATTTTTTGAAAGAGTTTGTGTAGGATAGGCACTAATTCACTGCTGAACGTTTGGTAGAATTCGTTTGTGAAGCCATCTGGGCCTGAGCTTTTGTTTTTGGGGAGTGCTTTGATTACTGCCTCAATTACGCTGCTTGTAATTGGTCTGTTTAGTTGTTCTGTTTCTTCTTTGCCCAGCTTTGGATGATTATACCATTCTAGGAATTTGTCCATCTCTTCTAGGTTGTTGAATTTGTTTGCATATAAGTGTTCATGGTAATGTCTGATTATTCTTTTGATTTCTGTTGAGTCTGTTGTGATTTCTCCTCTTTCATTTATAATCCTGTTTATATGTGTTTTCTCCCGTTTTTTCTTTGTGAGCCTGGCTGGAGGTTTGTCTATTTTGTTTATTTTTTTCAAAGAACCAGCTTTTGGTTTCATTGATCTTTTGGATTGTTTTTTTAATTTCCAGTTCAATAATTTCTGCTTTGATTTTTATTATTTCCTTTCTTCTACTGGCTTTAGGGTTTTTTTTTGTTGTTCTTTTTCTAGCTCTTTGAGATGTGAGAGTAGGTTGTTTCTTTGAGTTCTTTCTTATTTTTTGATGTGAGCCTGTATTGCTATATATTTTCCTCTTATTACTGCTTTTGCTGCATCCCATACATTCTTGAAAGTAGTGTCTTCCTTGTCATTCAACTCAAAATATTTTTTAGTTTCTTCTTTGAGCCCCTCATTAGGCCAGTGGTCTTCTAGTAGTGTGGGTTTCAATCTCCATGAAGTGAGAGTGTTCCTTGTTTTCTTTTCATGATTTATTTCTAGCTTGAGGCCTTTATGATCAGAGAAGATAGTTGGAATGATTTTGATCTTCATGTATCTGTTAATGTTTGTCTTGTGGTCCAGTATGTGATCAATTCTGGAGAATGATCCATGTGCACTTGAGAAAAATGTATACTCGGATTTTTTGGGGGTGCAGTGTCCTACAGATGTATGTTAAGTCCATGAGTTCTATGTCTTTATTTAGGAGTCTAGTGTCTTTGTTTATTTTTTGTCTTGTTGATCTGTCCATTGGTGAGAGTGGGGTGTTGAAGTCTCCCACTATATATGTATTTTCTTTAATGTCTGTTTTCAGAGCTGATAATAATTGTCTAATATATTTTGGTGCCCCTTCATTTGGTGAGTATATGTTGATGAGTGTTATATCTTCCTGATATATTGTCCCCTTGATAATAATGTAGTGTCCGTTTATGTCTCTCTTTACTTTTTTTAATTTGAAGTCTATTTCATCTGATATAAGTATGGCTGTTCCTGGCCTTCTTTTTTGGTCCATTTGCTGGTAGGATTGTTTCCCAACCTTTTACTTTCAGTCTATGTTTCTCTTTTGTGGTTAAATGTATTTCCTGGAGACAGCAGAAGGTTGAATTTTGTTTTTTAATCTAGCCTATAACTCTTACATTTCCTCTCTTCATGGAGTCTGATAATTGTCAAAGAGTATTCTCATACTGCTTCATTTGCACTTCTCTCTCTCTTTCTCTTTTGGCTCTTTTTATTTCTGTATCTTCGATAGTACTGATCCATTCTTCCATTTCGTCGATTCTGTTTTCATTGCTTTTCCCTGAGTTCTTTATCTCCTCTAGTAATCTTTTAATCTCCTGTGTTTCTTTTCTTTCCTTTCTTAAGGTCTCAGTTTCAGTCTTCAGTTCAGTATTTGTCTCAAATCATTTTTTTCCTTTTCATTTTTTTTCTGTTTTTTAATCATGATGATTATTCTCTATCTGATAGGCCAAGAAGTTCTTCCATGTTACTGTTGAACTCTGGTGACTGTATCTCTTTTTGTGGTGTGTCCTCCTGTGGGCTTGCTTGGTTATTTATATTTTTTCTTCTCTCTGTTGTTTGCTTTCTAATTAGTTTTACACGTTGGGATGTTGTGCCACTGGTGTTGGCCGGCATCCCTTTGGAGTGCTGCTTTAAAGGTGTTGGAAACTATTTACCAGACTGAGGCAGCACTGGTAGGCCAAAACTCCACCAGGGTGTTGATGCTGTGTTGCTGGGCACTGTCCTTTACAGTTCCCTCCCTCTGTATTTACTCAGTTCCAAGAGGGAATCAGCTAGTTGGTGATTTTGTTCTCATCACGAGGTGGCGCCAAGACCAGTACTTGCTGACCTGTGCTTTTTCCCAGTGGTTCTCCTCTCCCGTGTCCCATGGAGGGAGGGGTGGAGGGAAGCACCTCAACACAGGGGCTTTTATTCAAGCTGGGTGCTGTGTCTGCCCTGTGTTCACCGGGTGCTGTGCCCGCAGCTGTATGGATTCAGTGCCCTGAATTCTGCACTCTAGGTCTCAGTTCCAGAGCTATCAGATCCAAAACGCTGGCTGTTACCCTGTGCAGTGCCTGCTGCTATGGCGCGTCCCACGTCCTGGATCCTGCGCCTGGCTCTCAGTTCCAGGATGGGGTCTTGCTCCATGCCTTATTTCCCTTCTTACCCCCATTTGCATGGCCTACCCTCTCTCAGAGCCTGAGGGTGTTTTTGGGATCCTGGTTTCCAACTATCAGGACTTGGTGATTCTTTTTTCCTGGTCGCTAGGTGGCGCCAGAGATCTTTATTAGTGTCCTTCCAGAACTGTTTTTTTTCCCCGTAGGTCGGGGGAACGAAGTGGGAGTGGTGTGGAGAGCCTCAACGGCGTGGGGGTGCTGTGTCTGCCCTGTGTCCCACTGCCATGGGGATCCCACGCCCTGTATTTCGCGCCCCGGGTCTCAGTTCCAAAGCCCTCAGATCCAGGATGTAGGCTGTAGCCAAAGTCAGTGTCCTCAGAAATGGCGCCTATTGCACCCCGCTCCCAAGTCCGGGCGCCTGGTTTCTGATTACTCAGTGAGGGACATTCACCTCAATGAGAGCTCCTGCGCTTCTCTCCGCAAGCCTAGGTCGCAGGCGCGGGGACCTGGGCAGCCGTGGGGACCTGGGCAGCCGTGATACGCGACCTGGGCAGCCGTGATAGGAGACCCTCATATGATTTTTGAGCGCACCGCTTTTCTGCTTAAGCTTACTGGCTGGCCTCTGAGTCTTTGTTCTTCTCTAATGGCGCCTGGAGCCGTTCGGTTCGCTCACCTCCGCTGCGATTCCTGCACGGTTCTCCACAGTTCCAGTTCACAGGGTGCAGTGCCTGAAATGGTTCCTTTCCACTCACAGTCCCGCTTGATGTGGTTTGTTCTTTTGGTTGTTTTAGTTGTTGTTGTTGTTGTTTTTCTCCTTTCTGTTGGTCAGAGAGTGTTGGTCCGACTTTGTGGGAGCGGGAGGGTAGCAGAGTTCTGGGCTTTCCTCCCTTTTAGTCCTCTTTTATGGCAACTTTCTTCTTCAGGCAGTTTGCCAGAGTTGCCCGTTTATCTCCCGTGTCCCAGTTCTTGCAGGGACCTGCTGCTTTTCCTCCCTATTCATTTTTTTTTATGGGAGGTCTTACTTGCAGCGTTTCCCCGCCACCCTGTTGTTTTTGTCTCTATTGCTATAATATTTTCTTAAAAACTGAAAAATAATTTTGATCCCTTGCAACTCTGTGGTTAATATTTATACTTTATTTTAACATCTTAGAATGTTTAAAGGCCTTAGGTTATATGGAACGTGCTGCTGAAAGCTATGGCAAAGTAGTCGATCTGGCCCCCCTCCATTTGGATGCAAGAATTTCACTCTCTACTCTTCAGCAACAGCTGGGTCGTCCAGAGAAAGCTCTGGAAGCTCTGGAACCAATGTATGATCCAGATACTTTAGCACAAGATGCAAATGCTGCACAGCAGGTAAATGTAACATCCAAGTAAGTTTTTCTTTATATTTTAGAACTCTCCTCAGTTAAGGATGTCGCTATAGTTTATATTTAAAAGTTTTATTTTAGTGTATTGAATTCAGTGTTTTGGAAAATTATTTGAGTCTCAAAAATCAGCCATCATTAGACATTGCAAATTATAGTTCTAAAATAGTGGATCTCAACTATTGTGAAAGATAATAAAGCAAATATTCTTAAAGTTTGGTTTCTAAAACAATGGTTCTAAGTAAACAAAACATCTTCAGCAAAGGAATTTTGTCACACTCACTATCATTTACTTATTTATTTATTTAGGAACTGAAGTTGTTGCTTCATCGTTCTACTCTATTGTTTTCACAAGGCAAAATGTATGGTTATGTGGATACCTTACTTACCATGTTAGCCATGCTTTTAAAGGTGAGTAATTGTTTTTCTTTGTAGTAGCCTTGTTGACTTTTTAAATGTTCAGGATTTAAATTTAACATAGGTTATAGCTTATTTATAACTTTTATTCTATTAAAACTTTTAAAGTGAAAGTCAGATAAACACAAAGACTTAGAGATTAGTGATAAGTATATGAAAATTTTCTGTGAAAGTATAAACTTAACTGTAGATTAAATAAAATAAAATTTTTGATAGTAGGTATTTAGAAAAATGGGAACTGTAGTATTTTCAGTTATTGGATCTGTAAATAGTACTGTATGCTAATATTGTTCACTTTTCAAAACTGACATCCTTTCTGAGTCTGGCTTTTCTGTGAGGGAATGGTTGTGGATGTGTGTGTATGTTATATGGTTAATGTGACTTGCCTTCTTTTTCTCTGCTAAATTGAGATTGAGTAGTATAAACTAAATCCCTTTGGTAAGAAGAAAAACAAGTCTTTTCATTCTACTCTTAGGGTTTTTATACCTACAATAATTTGGTCTCTTTTGTCCTTATTAAAGAAGCTTTCAGGCATACCTGTGCTACTTGTGGCCCATGGGTTTTCTTTAAAAAATTATATGATTATGGGTAAGCCAGACTTTATTTGGTGAGGCAAAGTTGTTGGGAAAGCCCTGGAGTCTGGAATTCCAGGACTCTTGTTCCAGAACAGAGACAAAGAAGCTCTGTCCAACACTGCAGGAAACGTTGGCATCTAAATCAAGCCCACCGAAGCCATAGGCCTCCTCATGTGCTACTCATCTGCCCCCTCTGCAGAACACCTATAGGGACTGATATAGGTGATAAGGAAGTGGATTCAGTTCTGCATCCTGAAATGTCTTCACACCTTTCTTTATTTGTTTTAATTCAATGAAGCTTGTTCTAATTTTTTTTAAGTGATTAAAAAGTTCACACATCACTATCTTTAATTCAGGTAGCAATGAATAGAGCCCAGGTCTGTTTGATATCCAGTTCCAAATCTGGAGAGAGGCATCTCTACCTTGTTAAAGTGTCAAGAGACAAAATATCAGATAACAATGACCAAGAAACAGCAAACTGTGACGCAAAAGGTATTTCCTTACATTTTATTACATCAAACTTTACTGAGTTGAAAGAGTCTTGAAGTAACATTGGCATAATCTAATTAAAAATAGCCTTTTCAAAGAAAATGATATTTCTAATGTAACTCCTTAAGTTCAATTAAATTTATTTGGTGTTAAAAAGAATGGAAGGAAAGGCTACACATAAATACTTAAATTTTTAAAAAGGAAAGAATCTGCTTGGATTATTCTATGAAAAAGTGAAAAATTCAGAATTTTTTAAGAAGAAAATTTGTGAAAGTTAGATTATTTGTCCAGTCACTTCTATTACATATATTCCATTCTGTTAAATTCATTTTTGATAAATGTAGCAATAGTCATAGAAGCTTTGAAAATAAGTTGTTTTGACCCAGTTTCAAGTAATATAACTTTTGAAGGACCTCTATTTTTTGCTGGAAATGCATCAGGTATTTTGGGATGAGGTTATTACTCATAAGTTTGGAAAAGACCTAGGATATATACCGGAGATAACAGTTTGGCAGAAAATTGTTTCATTGTTAATTAATTCAATGGACGTTTATTAAATCATTGTAACAGAGATGGTAGTGTGCAATCAACAGAGGTTTTAGAATGTAGAAGAGTAAACAAGGGGGCTGGGAATTGTATGGGGACTATAACCAAGATGAAAATGCATACATTGTGCAAAAATGAAAAATGGTGTTAAAAAAAAAAATATATATATATATATATAAAAGTTGAATCTTTAAGCACAATATGAGAACGTAAGGTGAGAGTTAAAGGAAGAAGAGTCAGAAGAAATGATGCCTGATCTGTTCCTCCTGTGGCTGCAGATGCTTTGAGCCCTGACATCTGTCCAGCTTATCAATTCTGTATTCATTACAGGGTCTTCTGCCTCTGCGGCATGCATTTTAGACTTATGCTCCCTTAGGATATTTTTTCTATATCTGAGCCTTCCTATTTTCTCTTTCAGTATTTCTTGATTTCAGTTACATTACTGGTTTTTCTTAGACCCAAGGTTTTTGTTGTTTTGTTTTCTTAGCGATAGGGATCACACCAGGAGAGGATGAGCAAAGCCTTTTTGTGTTACATGCCTCCTTGTACTCTGAATTTTTTCACTTAACATTTTTTCATGACTGTATTCTCTTTACAGCGACTATCTTTAATGACTATAATATTCCATTGGATAGTAGTTCCATAATTTATTTAGTTATTGCCTTATTTATTTAATTTTTTAAATAGATTCGTTTATTTATTTATTTGTTTGTTTGTTTGTTTATACAAGCACTGGGTACAGTCAAAAGCGCGGGAGGGTGAGAGAATTCACCAGAGCCAGAGCGGGGAGCGGAGCAGAGCAGGCAGAAGGACCGAAGTACACTGCTGAGGGGAGCAGCGGGTGGCAGGAGAGGTCTGCACACCATGGGGGACCCTCCCCCGGTGGCCGGGGAGCAGCCAGGGATCGAACTGGCCCTGCAGAGGCTGCAACCCAGCGCTCAACCGCCGCGCCACTGGGAAGGCCCCATTGCCTTATTTTTTGATGAAAGGTTTTTCCAGTACTTTCTTTTATAAATAATACTGTAGTGAGCATTTTCATGCCTATTCACTGATCCACATTTTTGACTAGTTGTCCCAGCCAGCACTTGAGAAACAAAAATGAAATAGCTGTTTGTAGAGAACAAATTAGAAGTGAGAATTAACGGGGGTTGCAGGTTGTTAGGCAGAACAGAAGAGAGTGGAATTGAAGGGGGTATAGACAAGCAGCTCTTCCCATCTTATCTTTGTCAGAAGAACATTGGCAAGAATTCAGGTCCATAGGATGTTGGTTACTAAATTTAACCTTAAAATTGAACATGTGACTTTTTCTATTACTGCTACTTCTGGAAATACAATATCCTGACTGGTTTTCATCGGTCTCATTTTAGCAATATTTGCTGTACTCACAAGTGTCTTGACAAAAGATGATTGGTGGAATCTTCTGTTGAAGGCCATATATTCGTTATGTGACCTGTCCCGATTTCAGGAGGCTGAATTACTTGTGGATTCTTCATTAGAATATTACTCATTTTATGATGACAGGCAAAAACGCAAAGAACTGGAATACTTTGGTCTCTCTGCTGCAATTCTGGACAAAAATTTCAGAAAGGCATATAACTATATCAGGTGATTTTCCAATAACTTATTTTAATTAACTTCTTTGCTAGAGTATGTATATTTACTTTGACTTGGTCTCTCATGCTTAAGATTAATCATTTGCTTATTGGTTTAGTTCACCAGTCATTGTTGGAGGCAGGACATGAAAGCATGCATTCTCAGTGCTTAGCCTCTTATGCTTCAGTGTCTCCACTGAGAAGACAGACATAATACATCCCCCTTATGACATTGTATGGGGGTTAAATGAGTTCCATATGTAAAACCTTTTAACAGTGCCTGGCACACTTTGTTAGGTGTTCACTGTACTGTGTTTGTAGTGAACAGGAAGAAGAAAGGTAAAACTTAAGCTACTTGATTATGGTTTTTGGTTTAACAGTTTTGTTGAAAAGCAGAAACAAGAATTAGAAATATTAACTTAAGCAGCGTTTTCTGGAGAGATTCTTTTACTGTATGAGTGGTTTTGCTTAATGAATTAAACACTTTGCTTTTTCTTTTTGAGAGATGGTACGTTTCATTGTTGGTAGGATAGCACTGAAAGGCTGATTCTTACGAATCAGATAGATTTTCTGCTTGTGTTACTTTTTACCCTCATCTTCTTTTTATAATTCTAGGATAATGGTGATGGAAAATGTGAATAGACCCCAGCTCTGGAACATTTTCAATCAAGTTACCATGCACTCCCAAGATGTGCGACATCATCGTTTCTGTCTCCGTTTAATGCTGAAAAACCCAGATAATCATGCCCTGTGTGTCTTAAATGGGCACAATGCTTTTGTGTCTGGTAGTTTTAAGCATGCCCTCGGTAAGTGTCCTGATATATGACTTTGCTAAGCATGGACTGTTTGGTGGTTAAGAACCTGGCCTCAAAAGTGGGACTGCCTGGGTTTGAATAGCAACTCTACTGCACTGAGTGATTTTGCCTCCTTCTGCTGTAGGGTCTTTACCTCTAAAATGGAGAGAATATAAACTACCCAATAGGTTTTTGAAGGAGTTAAATTAGTTAATATAAAGTACTTAAACAATGCCTAGCACAATAGTGCCTGGCTTCTAAATGTTAATAATGATAATAATTAGTATTTATTTTTCTTATGAAGTTTTGGTTTCTAAGAGACTGAAATAGGTCTTATAATTTGTTTCGAAGGTCAACAGTTGTGCCTGTTTACGCAAGCTGTTTCTTGTTTTTTTTTTACTTTTAAAATAATTTTCAATATTTATGGATGCCCTGCTACTTTATTTTAATTTGCAATAGTACGAAAAATGATTTCAGATTTGCTGGTAGATCATTACTTTAGGAGACAAGTCTTAAATCAAAACTATTTATATAATGCTTATTAATTCTAATTAAACTCAGGAAAAATTCACTAATCATTTGTAAGAAATTTCTATAGTAAAGAGTCACAAGCAAAACAAGTAGAAAGATACCTAACTAAATATTTAAACTTAAAATGAGCCATGTATTTCCCGCTGCCTGAAAGCTAGTGTTGCCAAGTTTACCTATTCTGAATAAACTGTGATTTTTGGCTAGTTAATACTTTGTTTATATATTGCTATTGTTTTATAATTGCTCAGCCAATAACTTTGAACATCAAATGTTGAAAGCTTCCTCCACTGTGTATGCTTTTTAGAGTTGTTAGTTTAATGTTAAGAAAACATAGAGATTTATTTTATTTTCCTATGCTTAGAAACTTTTACTCAAGGTAACTTTTACACTGTCATTTAGAAAGTCCAAATGACAGTACCATTTGGGTTATTGAAGAGAGAAGAGGTGCTGTTCCTCCTGGAACAGAAGCCAGAGAAATAGAAGTTTTTATGTATATAAGTATAGATCATTCTTTGAGAAGAAAAATTTGGCTAAATTCCACCTCAAGTAGTTAGACTTTTGACATGAGATATAGAATATATGGAATTCACAAAAATCACACCTTCTTAGTTTATATTAGGTATGTTTCACTTGTCTCAGGAAAAACAAAGTAGTTGCTGTACTTGGGAAAATAGGACCCATAGTCTGTTGTTCACACTTCCATGATCTATCACAGTTAAATTTATAAGACAGATTTATTAATTTTGCAAAAGAAATCACCAAAAGACACAATCCCCCATTGCTTCTTAGGTATATTTTATTTTATTTTATTTTATTTTTTTTAAATATTAAATTTTATTTTTATATTCCCCCATACAATTGCAAACGCCCCATTCTGACCCCAATCCTTCCCCTCCCGCCCCCACCCCCCAAAAAGTGTCTCTGGTTCATAGTTTTTTGTTGATTTTGATTTTCACTTTCTTATATTCATTTTCCTGGTCCCTTATTTAAGTTTTCTAGATTCCTGCTATGAGTGAGACCATCCGGTATTTTTCTTTTTCTTTTTGGCTTATTTCGCTGAGCATGATCCCTTCCAGTGCCATCCATGTTGCTGCAAATTGCATGTGTTTATCTTTTTTGAATGCTGAGTAATATTCCATGGTATATATGTACCACATCTTCTTGATCCAGTCATCTATTTTTGGGCATTTGGGTTGTTTCCAAAGCTTAGCTATTGTAAACAGTGCTGCTATAAACATAGGAGTGCAGGTGCTCTTTGGAATTGATGTTTCTGTGTCCTTTGGGTAAATACCTAGGAGTGGAATTGCTGGATCATATGGAAGCTCTATGTTTAGTAGGTCCAGAAATCTCCACACAGCTCTCCACAGTGGTTGGACCAGTTTGCACTCCCACCAACAGTGCAGAAGAGTTCCTTTTTCTCCACACCCTCGCCAACATTTGTTGTTGCTAGTTTTTTTAATATGTGCCATTCTCACTGGTGTAAGATGGTATCTCATGGTAGTTTTGATTTGCATTTCCCTGATGACAAGTGATGTTGAACATTTTTTCATATGGTGTGAGGTAGTGGTCAAGCTTCATTCTTTTGCATGTAGCGACCCAGTTTTCCCAGCATTCTTAGGTATATTTTAGACCATAGACTGGACTTATGATCACAATTGATAGGTTGTTGATATGGGAGTATTTCTCTGCATGGATTTGGCTAGCTGTGCCTAAAATAAAGTCACTTTCAGTTGCTCATAATTAATCTTCATGATCAGGATACATTTATGGGTAAATACTTCTAATTTCATCATATTGGTGATTATTTTACAATTCAAATTAATGTATATCTCCTTGATATTTGAGAATATATATATATCTGCATATCTTAAATATTAATAGTATTTTTTAGCCTTAAAGTATATTTAAATGGGTGTTAAAGAAATAAGAAACTGATCTCATGACACCATCTGACATCCCTGCTCATTTTTCAGGACAGTATGTGCAAGCCTTTCGCAGCTATCCCTATGACCCTCTCTATAGCCTCTGTATAGGCCTGACCTTTATTCACATGGCATCTCAGAAGTATGTATTAAGGAGACATGCCCTTGTCGTGCAGGTAATTCTCATCACTTTATATGTTCTTTAAATATAGTCAAATATACTTAATACTTTTGCTGTCTTGCTTCAAAAGCAGTGCCTGGTTAGGTCCCTGTGTTCAGCACTCACAAACTCAGTGTCCTCTGTTCTTACAGATTATGGCTGTTTGACAGCTTGTAACATTGGGGGGGGGTTTTGGTGTGAATATTTTTGCCCTTGACTTAAAATACCTTTCTAGTACACTTTCAGAAGGGTTCTTGTCTATAGTGTGATATGCCACTACGTTACAGACATAACTTCTTTGAGAGTGGGACCGTGTCTCTTTTTTTAATACTTACATTCCCAGCACATGGCACATACAGTGGTTCAAGACATGCTTGTCAAGTGAGTAAAATATTGAATTGTTTGTCTTTTTCTTTTTGGTAGGGCTTTTCCTTTCTTAATCGCTACCTCAGTCTACGTGGCCCTTGCCAGGAATCCTTCTACAATTTGGGCCGTGGCCTTCACCAACTGGGACTGATTCATCTTGCAATCCACTATTATCAGAAGGCTTTGGAGCTCCCTCCACTAGTGGTAGAGGTATGGTATGATTCACTTTAAAAATGGAGGAGTCACTCTTTCATTTATAGAGAAGTGCAATTAGATCAGTGTTGTGGTCCAAATAATGAAATACTTTACAGCTTAAAATCGGTTATTTTCCTTATTCAACCTATTTATATAAATATGCTAAGCAGCAAGTGATTTTTGACATCTTGGCCTTATGACCTCATCAGCAACATGTGGGTCGATGCAGCTTGTGGTTGTTATGCCCATTGCAGTTTTCCTAAGATAGCCCCTGTGGCTTATATGAGCTGGTAGGTAATGAAGCCTGGTATTGAGTGATATGCCATTGTTCACTTCCAAGTTCAAGTATAACTATTATTTATTCCCAAGGATGAAAGACCATTATTACTGTAGTTTTGTTTATTTTTAATATAATTTTTACTACGATTTTTGAAGAAAAGCATGTATTTTCATTGATTTTTTTTTTAAGTTATAATTCCCACATTCCCTCACAATCATTTTCTTACCCTTGTTCAAGTTGATTTAGTTGTTAAACAAATGAATACATTCTTTTATACTTATGCTGACAATATATATACACATCTGTGTTCTTTATTTCATAAATACCTTTCTTATTCCTTAAGCTCTGTCAGTATCATTTTTCATTGTTGTAGATTTTTTTCCAAAATGTTGTACTGAGGAAAATTAGAAACATAGATCTAATCTATTACATTGAGTTCACTGCTGTGTCATTTAAACAGAATCAAAAGGAATAATACATCTAAGTTAGTCATTATAATCAACTTGATGTATGCTCCCTTAGACTATTTCTTAATATGTTTTTCTGTTATATAGCACAAGTATTTTTTCCCGCTGATCATTTGTGTTATAATTTATTATTTTACATACAAAAGTTTTACATTTCTTTATGAAGTCATATCTATTAATCTTTACCTTTCTATTTTTGCTATTATACTGAGAAGGTTCTTTCCTACCCATGATGATATTATTACTCAACTTCATTTTTATGATTTTTTTAACTCTTAATTCCTTAATTCATCTGGAGTTTATTCCTTTGTGGCTTGTGGGTAAGACTTTCAGTTACTGGTTAGACATTTAAAAATATTTGATGATATGGTTACTATAATAATCAGCATTATCTGATAAAAATTTAGATTGAAGATATTTTAAGTTTTCTAATACTTTTAGTATTTAGTTTTAGTATTTAGTTTTTGAATACACTTGTAAAACTGTTTATTGCCATAAACTGTCCTGATTTTCAGCTTGAAATATCATTTATTCATGTATTTCTCCCCTAGGGTATGGAAATTGATCAGTTAGACTTACGAAGAGATATTGCCTACAATTTGTCTCTTATTTATCAGAGCAGTGGGAATATTGGAATGGCTCAAAAGCTTTTGTATACCTACTGTTCTATATAAAACACCTCAACTGGAAAAGGAGCATTGAGTAGCTGCTGTGTGTGGACCAAGAATCTCTGTCTCTGTGTATTTTATTTTTAATATGTTACAATGATCTTTTGGTTGATACACAAATATATCATTCCTACAAAATTTATGTATTGTCTTGCCATTTTCCTTTAGCATTTTTTAGTGAACTTGCCCCCAAAGCTGAAATGAACAGTATTAGATTTATTGTCAGCTTGGCGTTGAATACACTAATGTTTTCCTTAAGCCATTTATTCATCTGTGTGTTTTATACTATATATTAAACACCCTTGGTTTACTAGGCACTATGATAGGTGCTTAGAATACAGAAGTAAAAGAGATGTGACCACTTAATACAAGTATTTACTTCAAGGAAATTTTTGCTATATTTCTATATACATACATCATCATCGTCAGTTGTTGCAGTGTTGGTGTTCTGGACCCAATTCCCACTGTATGTGTGGGTGCTGAGGCTTCCCCACCCCAACCAGCAAGTCTTAGATACCGGTGGAGTGTTCAAGAATTCATCTCAATTCTGACACTGTCTATAAAGACATATCAGGTTCCACGGATTAAGGGCTCAGTCTCACAAGACCACCCTGTCCTTTAAGATTCTGGCTGCAAATTGTAGGCAAGGCCATCCTTCTGATCCACTCACTACAGATCAGAAGTCCCCATAACCCTCCTTAAACTTCAGATGCCGTTTGCAAGCTCAAACTGGCTATAAATCAGAGGTTCCCAGGATGCCCTCCTTAGGTTCAGTTAATTTGCTAGAATAGCTCACAGAACTGAGGAAACCTATTTACTCACTGAATCACCAATTTATATTGGATACTAAAGGATATGAACCAACACAAGCCAGATGGGAGAGATGTGTAGGGCAAGGTGTGGGGAAAAGGCTCAGAGTTTCCATGTCCTTTCTAGGGGCACCAGTCTCCCCAAATCTTTACATATTCACCAACCTGGAAACTCTCAAACCAACCCCCCTCTTGAGTATTTATTGAGGCTTCATTACATAGTGGGACTGGAAGTTCCACCTTCTATTCAAGTTGGTTTCCCTGGTAACTAATCCCATCCTTGGGTAGAATCCAAAGTTACCTTCATGAACATAGCAAAAGACAATTTTATCATAACACTTAGGACAGTCCCAGGGGAGTTGTGAGATAAGAACTGTGAATGAAGATGAAATATGTATGAGAAATATATATTTTGGTCATTTGAATGGCAGAATATGTTTTTTGTAAATCACATTATTGCAGTCATCCATGTCTCAGTGCCCTATCACTATTGTATGGACTTGTTTTTCAGATATAGAGAAAAGAAGATTGCTTATTAAAGGGCACAAATCAGAACTTTTTCTTATGTCCGCACAGTTATGTAATTCACCTAGCTCCTAACAGAATTACTTAGAATCATTATATAGTGAAAAGCAAATAATTGATAACATCTTTTACTTTTCACCTGCATGTATTTCAGCTAGATAGACCGAGACCTGGGGGTCTGGGCTTAATTCAGAACATCTTGCTCCAAGGCAAAAAAAGTATTAACAATGTTTCTGACTTTCTGACAACAAAATAGAAAAGAGGACCATGCTCTGTAACATGATTTGCTCTCCATTTCAGGACCACTAGGAATGTAGGCTAGACTGGGGAATTGTAGATATGGAATAAAGTCTTGCTGATGAAGTTTAAAAAAAAAAACAAAAAACAGTAACCCCTTACCTTGAATATTTTCTCTTTGTATAATTAATATAACAACATTTGCTAGATATGCTATTGTTTAGTAACAGCTTTTTAGAGTTCTTTTTTAGGGGAAAATAAATGATAAAATAAGTGTACATAAGGATTCTAAGATCCAGTCTAATTGTGGGAGGGAAGCAAGTATGAGATTAGGGTCAGAGAAATAGAAAGGGGCTTTTAGTAATTCTTTTTTTTTTTTTTTAAGATTTATTTATTCATACAAGAACCGGGGTACAGGCCAGATTCGTGGGAGGGTGAGAGGACTCACCAGAGACAGAGTGGGGAGTAGTACAGGCAGACTGACGAAATACACTGCTGAGGGGAGCAGCAGGCTTGAGACAGGAGAGGTCTGCTGCGCCATGTGGGACCCTCTCAGGCCGGCCGGGATTACACTGGCGCTACAGAGTCTGCGGACGGCTTCACAGTGCGGGGCTCAGGGAGGCCCATTTTTAGGAATTCTTAACTATTTTTTTATACTGTATATATAACTTTCTAGTTGAGAAGCAGAATTATGTGATAAGTAATTTGTCCACTCCGTGTGTTTCTGGGTATACATGTATATATACAATATAAATAAAATTTATATTCAAATTGTGTCACATCCTGATGTGTATAATTTATTTCATGCCATTTGCAGATAATGATAAATCTAACTCTGATAATGTAATAAGTTAGATTTGTGTCTTGGTATCCTGTGGAATTGAGCATTTATGTTCAGATTTTCCTTCTAGAATTAAACATTGTCTACTGAATAGCAGTGGAGGAAACAATATATCTAGCAATTTTCTAAGAGAAAGATAATATCGCATGAGTGGTGGGGTTTTTAGCATTTAACATCAGGGTCTCCATTTGCTGAGTGTTAATATGCTACTGTGTGCTAAGTGCAGTGCCAGGTGCTTTAGGTATATTACCTCAGATTCTCAGAGAATCATCCTCATGTTAGGTGTTACTGTTATTATCTCCATCTTATATATGAATATTAAATAGCACTTTCAACATCACTAGCAACCTACATTTTGCTCAGAGATGTTTCTTCAGAGGAAAATATTTGCTCCAGTTCAGAGTAACAATATAAAAATTGTGCTTATGTTTATATTCCATGTCTTCAGCCTATTAAAATCCTCTACAGAGTAGAAAACATCTTTTGGGGCATATTTTTAAAAGCTGATACTGCCTTACCTGCCAACTTAACCCAGCATGGGATCCTGATAGTCACAATAAGCTTCTTTTCTACCAGTCATAGTAGATTCAGCAGGGAGTCTACTCCTATACCAAGCTGGACCAATCAAGTATTTGTCTCTCCCTACCTGGGAATTTTAGAATGGAGATAGAGCCTTTCTGTGTGATTGGAACTTGAGAGCTGAAACCCTTTGCTTTTCCTGTGGGCCACTACTCCAATTAACCCATTCTGTTGAGAAGGAAAAGAAGGCCTGTGTGCTGAAAAGCAGAGGCAGCTCTCGTGGGTTCCCCATATTTTCCAGCTGTCCATTTTCATTAAAAGGTTGCAGTCTCTTGAGTTCTTTCTGTATGATAGCCTCGATTCTAGAATAAATTCTACTTTTACACTAGCTTGAGATTTTCTGTTACTTGTACTCAAAAAGTCTTAACTGATCCACTGTGTTCCATCTTTCTTTCATTTAGCATTTATGCTTCTTAGCTATTTTCACAAGGAAAGACATATGTAATCACCAGAGATAATGTCTCTGAATTATAAGTAGTGTCATGAAGGCTGAACCACTTTTTCAGGCACAATATGCCTACCATCTGGTGGTGTAAAGTCACTAGCAGTTTGCCAGTAGCTCATTGAAAAGTCTTTGGAGGTTTTAACTAAGAGTAAACAATATGAATTGACAGGGTGGTGTTTTTATCAAGTGAAATGTAGTGTTAGGCAAGTATAATGAAAATAGGAGAAAATAGTGTCTCCTTCACTCTGATCAGATCAAACTGACTTCAGCAAATGAGAAATAGGAAAGTGTATGGGGGTCTTAAGAAAAAACATGGAGAACTCTAAAAGGAAATCAAGATTTTCAGCCTAGAACATAGAAAATTTGCAAGGGACTGATATTTTCGAGTCAGGAGAAGACATGGGAGAGTGAGGACTCTTATTCTGGGTAACCCAGAATAAATTGACATCTCTTTTCCCGCCCCTAGTATTTCCCTAATATTGTCCTTCATTTATCATCTGTCTATACACTGGCAACTGTCATTAAAATTTCTTTGGCTACTAGCTTACACTTCCTTTTCTGAAACTGGCTCCCAGTAAAGACCAAGTCCTGGCCACTGCTAATTAAACAACCTAAGCTGGGCCAAATGTGCCCTCTCTTCCTGGTATTTTGAAGCTTAGCCTGAAGAGATGATGAAATTTGGTGTCTTTGAAACTAAATCGTACCCCTGCATTACTTCAAGGAAAGGAGGAAAACGTCCTGTTGCTGAGGTACTAGAGAGCTCTTGCCTTCACAAGTAAGTCTTCCTGCGAATCTCTGTGAGAGCACCATATCCTTCCAATAGGTTCCTTTTCTTACACAAGCAGGTTTGCTGGTTGGATTGTCTGGGAAGCAAAAGGTGTCTTGGTAACATTGTGGTGAATGAGGCGGGCGGGCTTAGGCAGCGCAATGCAGACATGACAGTCTATACCAGCCCAACCGGATACGGTGGGGGTGGGAGGGAATTCCTTGTGGGGAGAACTTATGCTGAGGGCTGGGAATTCCAGCCTAACACCGTCAAGGTCTGGGGGGCACTTGGGAGGAGCTTAACCTTAGTTGCCTTTACCGTGTTTACTCATTGGCTGGGGGCCTCCCTGAGAAAAACATGACCTCTGCTCAGAAGCTGAGGCACTGCTTGAAGTTGGTAACAGCTGGAGGCTGTCAATTAACCACTCCCCTGGTCCTTGCAGAAACCACAGGGATCTCAAGACCAAAGACAAACACCCCCAAAACAAAATCAGACCAAACATACCGTGTAAACTCAAGACCAAAGAATAGATGAAAGGCTGATGACTAAACAGTTTGGAAACTAAAAAAGCAAATGGGCAATTGGTCACTAAAGAAACCAGAAAAAATGAAAGCCAAGTGCCCACAGGAGGGGTGGGGAGAGAGCCAGAAGCAGCAGATTCCAGCCCTGAGCGGTTCATGCACTAGTCTAAGACAGGTGAGGTGGTGTTACAGGAGAGAAAGAGGGGCAGCCCAAAACCCCGCAAACCTGCCTATTCTAAATGGGTTCTGCCATCCGCCGCATCAACACAAAACATAGGAGACTTTAATGAAAAGGAACTTTAATAAAACTAGGAAACAATACAGGTAAGGCAAAGAGTCTAGTTTCTAAATCAAGCACCCAAAGTCACCCGTCCCCTCGTGGGCAAAAGTCCATCCAAATGGGATTGGCCCAGAGCAAGGCCCCAAGGCCTGCCACAAGTCCAAAGCATCCTCCAGTGGGGACCCACAGAAAAGGGTCACAAACAACCGGACAAGCCCGGAAGGAAAAGAGCAAAATTAACATCAAGATAAAAGCTGCCATTGTCACCTCCCCATGGGTCTCACCCACATCTGTGTCACCCCGTCTACGACCAAAAGACAAGCGCAGTTTCTTCACGTGTCTCTAGGCTCCATGCGCCTCCTCCAGGTCTCCTGGCTCCATCCTGCTTCCTACCTCAGTCTCTTCTTCAGCTTCTTCTCTTCCTGCTCAGCTCCACCCTCCCTTGGGTGGGGCAGGGAACCTCCCCCTTTCCTGGGGACCACCCTGTTGCAGTGGGACTAAGATTGCTGAGGCCATTGACAGTCCGATAAAGGCAGTGAGCGCTTCCTGGTCGCCTTTTCTGTCTCCTGCAGGTTACAACATCCTCTGCACTACAGAACATGGTAGGTTGGTTGTTGTTTTCTTTTCCCCCCTAAAGCTGTTAAATGAGGATCTGTGGGTTTAAGCATAGCTGAGGGAACAGCGTTACACTGAAAGTAAATAAAAGTCTACACGTTGAACCGTAAGCTCAGCCTCCTATTTAACTCTAAGAAAACTGGCGGCCAGGTGAGTAATCTTTAAGGGGAGCATTATCCCGCTCCTCTCTGAAAACTCTGCCAAAGGAAGAAAAGGCTGACAGCTGGGGAGTCCCCTGTGAAACAGCCTGGTCCTGGCCAGGATCCCCTGCTCCCCAAATCCCCAGTGTGCCCCAGTGGGTGAGGGAAACCTTACTGGTCACGGGAATGCACAGCTGAAGATCATTAGACCTTTGAGGAAAGCCTCTGAAGGACAAATGCTCAAGAGCAAATGGGGAGTGGGGAGGGAGACTCAGAATAGAAGTAATGCAGGAAATGAAAATATTCTAATAGCCCCAGATGAGAAAATTTCATAGATCTGAACAGAAGAATGCTATAAAAATGAATAGTCAGAGACTAAGAGAGCTTTATATAATTAAAAGCACAGTTGTAAAATTGAAGGGTTGGGGGAAACTGAACTTTAAAAAGACAAAATGGAAAACTGAAGAGTGAGAAAATTAAAGGTTGTAAAACAGTCTAAATTACAAGTTCTTTGTGGCCATTATCATGTCTTATAAATTCACATATATTTCAAGGTATTTGCTTGATTATAAATAGTCCCAGGAGGAGGAAAAAACTGCAGTGATTTTTTATATGCAATAGATGTCAGTGTATTTCTATAAATTTAGAATTATACTATATCATTTTGTTCTTGTAATACAGTGTGCTAGCTATTAACTTTTAAATCCCTCCCCCAAAAAATAAGCTCAAAATATTTTTAATTGGGTAGAAAATATTTCAGTATCTCCCTCCACTTTTGGGTAATCAACCAAAAAGCTCTGCCCTTTCCTATCAGCTGGATTCTTAAGGTGTGTCCCTTGCTGTCCGTTTTTCAGTCTTGATCGCCCCCCAAATGTCTAGCAGATATCAAGTAACCATAACATGCATAAAAAGCTTCTAATCACTGCCTGAAGATCTCACCCCAAGTTCACCCTGTTTGCAGACTCAAGCAAGCGAAGATTAGAGTGCGAATTAGCAGAACCACTTGGTATTTTTGTAGACAGGTGTTTATAGTCAAAAAAAGGAGAGTTCATCCTACTCCCTTTTGCCCCCCTGTAGCATGTCTCTGGTTTATAGTCACCTGTTGATTTTGATTTTTACTTTATTATAATTAGTCTTTTTCCTGGTCTCTTATTTAGGTTTTCTAAATTCCTGCTATGAGTGAGACCATCCAGTATTTTTCTTTTTCTTTCTGGCTTATTTCACTGAGCATGATCCCTTCCAGCGCCATCCAAGTTGCTGCAAATTGCATGAGTTTATCATATTTGATTGCTGAGTAATATTCCATTGTGTACAAAACAAGGCGGGTGGGAATTTTCCGGGGACAATAACCAAGATGAAAATGCATACAGTTTGTACAAAAATGAAAAATGATGTAAAATATATAAAATAAAAATTTAAAAAAGTGGGGGTAGTTCAAGTGAAGAGAGAGAAAAGCCAATAAACAGATCCTTGGACTCAATGACCCTCAGCTGCATTAAAGAGGCCAGGGGGCAGTCAGTCTGGACCAGCCAATTCCAAAAACAGTCAGCTCTGATCCAGCTTCAGTGGTGTACCAGACCCTAACTG